GCGGTGGGAGTACGGAGTGGAATTGAAGTACGGATATGGCGCGTTGGAGAACAGTGTGGTGGAAAATAAATGCAACGGCTGCGAAATGAGCGGCGGCGCGTGTGGATTTACTCCGCCGGATAACTCGTTCGTGTGCGTCTGCGGTGAAAAAGGATTCAACACCACGACGGACTGCAATAGTTACGATCTCACTCAGGAGTTCTTCTGGAGCTCCGATTCTTTCCCAATATTATCTTGTAAGTTGCCGCCTCTCCTATCTCCTCCATATTATTTTATTTTAGTTTATGAAAGTTTCAAATATGTATTTTAATTCATAATCTTTTAAGTTTATTTCATTTTTATCTTTAAAATTTAAATGTGTTTTATTGGTGTGTTGTGTGTTTTGTTCATTTTTCAAATAATTTTTTTTAGTATTGTAATCTTACTATAACAATATTGCTCACGTTAATATAATAAGTATTTTTTTATTCAGGGAGTTATAATATACTTATATTGACATGTTTGTATTTATCTTTTTTTTTTGTTTTGTGTTTTTTTTTAATTAAGGTACAGAGTTGAGGTTTTGACATTTATCCATTATATACATGTTGTGTGTGGAGTTTTTCTTAAATTATTTAAGTTTTGAATTTTTACATGGATTCATCATTGTATTAAAATTATGAATGAAAAGTTGATATCAATAAAAGGGATTTTTTTTATGAGAATCTAAATTATCATGTTTGGTGACTAAAATAAATTATTTTAAAAGTTTAGGAGAAAAATGAAAGAATATAAGCCGAGGTTATACCACTATTTTATTCATAATAATTATTTTTTCCTTTTTTAATTTTATCAAATTAAGTCATGATCCAAAGAGCTTGTAAAACGGTTCTCTATATTTATTATTAAACTTGTTTGTAATCATTATATTACGGTTGGCAAGTTTTTTACTTTTTTAAATGGATGATGGGTAAGTATTGATCCGTGTATATATTAAAATTAAGGTTTAAAATACTATTTTAGTTATGTGTTTAGCTTCGATTGATTTGGTTGTTTCTATTTTTAACTTTAGTTTATTTTAGTCTCTATATTTTTAGTTTTAATTGATTTTGGTCTCTTATTTTTAATTTTGGTTCATTTAATTTTCTATATTTTTAAAATACTTATTTTTGTTGCTATACTTTTTTCGGAATGTTATATCAGTCATTATTTGAACCTTAAAATAATAAAGAAAAAACTTTGATTCTAACTTTATGTTTTAAAATACCTATCAAAATGATTTTTTTGAAAAAAGATGTTTACGGTGGATGTGGAACATAATATGTTCCACATATGCTTATTCTTTCATAACGGAAAAGTGATAACCTCTTTTGAAATAGGTCTCAGAGCTTTCAATAAAAAAAATAAAAAAAAAGAAAGAAAGAAAGAAAGAAATAGGTGATTTTTTTGTTTTTTTTATTGAGATTTGGATTAGGTGTCAATTTAATATCTGAAGTTTTAAAATAAACACTTTTGTCCCTCGTATTTGCAGTAGGTGCCAATTTGGTAATTGAGTTCCAAAATAAACATTTTTTATCTTTGAAGTTTGAAAATTTGTTTTGAATAGTCAGTGATTTTGTTTTTTTCTGTTAATTGACTTAACAAAAAAAAATGATGTGGCAATTAACAGGTGATTGGACATTTTTTAAATGATTCGTAAACAAATATTAATTTTTACATAATTTTGTTATGTGAGGTGACATTTTTTTAATTTATTTTCTTCTTCATTGGCTCTCTTCATCTTCTTGTTATTATCATTGTCGTTGCCATCGCCCGCCGTCGTCGTCCACTGTTGTTGTTGCCCACCATCATATCATCATTTGCCATTGCAGTTGTTGTTGCCCACAAGAGAGAGGGAAAGCTCCCCCGTTCCATATCTGGATTGAAGGAGAAAGGGAGGAGCTCCGAAACAGGGAGAGAGGGAGCGCTCTTCTCTCTCTCCAGTGGACGACAACGGACAACAGTGGTCGACGACTACGACCATAGATGACAACAAGAAAATGAAGAGATCAAAAGAGAATGAATAATAAATAGCAAAATAGTTTAAAAATTAATGTTCTTTTACAACTAATTGGATAAAAAGCAATTAAAAAAGTCAATCATCTACATGTCATTTTTTCTCTAAGTTGAATAATGGTCGAATAATGTTTAGGGATGATTTAGAACAAAATTTTCAAACTTTATCGACCAAAAATGTTTATTTTGAAACTTAACGATCAAGTTGACAGCTACTCCAAATCTACGAAGATTAAATTGACACCTACCCGAAAGACCAAAAATGTATTTTTTTTTTTATAAAATTTTAATCCATTTTCAAAACAAAAGTATTCAAAAACTACCTTTTCAGCTGTGGTGTGGTTACTGGTTTGATGGTGATTTTGTTGATAATTCTTTTAATGTAACTTTAATTTAATCTAAACAATATTGAAAATATTTTTGAAACTAAATGACTGAATGGTAATTTTTCAGGGAGTAGACGGTTCCTACTTTTTGCTAGTTTCTTAGTACCTCATTGTGGCAGCTTCATGTAGAGAGGTTTTCATTTTGAAGTGTTTTGGAGTGACAAATCTTTTAAATTAACCAATAATTATGTAAAGTGACGCTTGCACATTTACTAATTATGTTACCTTATTGGTTACACCATATTTTTATCTATGTATTTGTATAGTTTTTATCTGAATTTTTTTGTTTCAACGCATCATGTGGTTGGGGTGGAGATTAAACTTATATCTTTCTAGTTTAAAATAGGTGTCTTAGTCAATAGTTGAGCTAGGTTCGGATTGCCTTTTATCTTGAATTTTTAAAAATTTATTCTTATACTTTAATATAGGTTAAAGTGTATAAAATATCCCGACAATTGTGTTGATATTAATGAACCGAAAATTTGCTCAAAAAGATTTAATTCTGCCTCAAGCTCTTAATATTTTTTTAAACAAAAATCTCCATCACCAATTGTTTCAATTTTACTTTTAATATWTACAACTAATTTCAATTTTATCCCCAAAAATTCAGTGGATCAACAATTCACAGTAGAATACCGAGGTCGGTCGGTCGGTCGACTTTCAACTCCGGTTGATCGGRGGTGGGTTTTATCAATACAAAACCGAACTGTCGATCGGTCAGAAAAATATCTTCCAAATGTAATTATTAATTATTTTATATATTTATAATTTATTTTTTTGTTGTTTTATCCATTACCTCTCATTTTTATTCCCAATCTTCTCTACCTTCCCTCTATAATTGATTTTTCTTCCTTTCTTCTTTTATCTTTTTTATTTCCTCCCTTTCAAGTTTCTGATCAATTTTTTTCTTTCTCCATTTTCATTTCAGATGTGTTATCTTACTCTCTCATTTTCCATTTTCTTCTTCTCTTATTCTCAACTCCAACTCTTATTTTCTATGATTTGTTATTTTTTAATACAATKGCCATGGGGAGATAAAAATCAGTCTAGAGGCATGTAGAAGACACAAGATGACCCGACTATCAATTTGATTGGTAAAAGCTTTACTACATCGGTCGATCAGTTTCCTGGAAACCGACCATATATTGGTCGATGGAGATTTTAGCTTGAAAGTTGACCGAGCCGACTGATGTACACCCCTAYGAGGAAGAGTTTTATTTATAAATCAAAGTAAAATATTGAAAGTTAAACTAAAAATTTTAGATTYGATATAAATTTAGCTCAAYGATAATTGACACTTGTCTCTAATGGAGAGGTCATAGATTCGAACTTAAAAAGAAAAAAGTATCAAAGCAAGCATAGCTAATGGTAATTGACATGTAMCTCAAACCATGGGGTTGTGAATTCGATCCCCACCCCACATGTTGTACTCAAGAAAAAAATAATAAAAAAATAAAAATAAAAGTGAACCTCGGACGTATGATACATATCAACTAAAAGTTAAAAAGAAGATTCCAGTTCTATTACGATCAAATTTCAAATTCTTCTAAAAAAATGATCAAATTTCAAATATTTGCTGCTAATTTGCGATATTTTATTTTTAATTTTAGGGCAAATTGTAAAAACTAYCCGGGTATGGTAGTTGTTACAATAATACCCCTAAACTTTCAATGGTAAAAATTAAATCCTTCGTGAAAAAATYAGAGCCTTAAATTTTCACAAATTTCGAAAATTGTACTCTAAATTTTCCAATGGTAAAACATTAAACGTGCACATTGCAAATTACATCTATTTGAAAATTCCACTTTTTGACAAATAACAACTCTCGTTTGGCTCCAATAATGTAGCCGGAGAGCCTTCTTCAACCTCTGAAAATTTGTCGGARCCGACGAATCCAGAAATTCGGGAAGGAAATAACTACACTCTTCAACTCGACAAATTCTGCCATTGGAGAAGTTGTTGAAGTCTACATCAGTCTTGGCGATGGTGAGGGAAATGGGGTCGCCGGGGAGTAAAGAATGATGGATTTGGGAGAGTCGACGTCCGGATGCGATTTTCGGCCCGGGGGAGGAAGTGCTCAAGAGTGAGAATGAGAGACAATGGAATTGAAGTTATAAAAAATGGAGGATCTGGTAGGGAGGAAGAAAAGAGACGCATGGTGGGAGGGTAGAGRATTCAGCGACGGAAGAAGAATCACGTGGCGGAAGAAGCTCTCCGGCGACATTACCYGAAGAAAAAGCTCACCAACGACATTCATGAAGCCGAATCGAAGAAGATTTGTGAATTTTCAAGTAGATACAACTATTTTAAATAGGAGAGTTTAATTTTTACAATTGAAAAGATACAATTTTCTCATTTATTAAAATTTAAGGGTTTAATTTTGACTCCTACCAATTTTGGTGTCTAATTTTTTGATATGTAAAAGTTGAAAGGTTTATTTTTTGTAATTGAAAGTTTAAGGGTGCAATGCGATACTTGAGAGGTGATTTTTGCATTTACCCCAGATTTTATCAGGCAGATAAATAGGAAAAATTACTGGCATTACTGTTATTTCTAATTTAAGCTTCGGTTTTCAGGAAAAAACGAAAAAAAAAAGGCCATTTTGATTTACGACAAAACCCTCGGTTTTCAGAGGAAAAACCCTCCTGTTTTATGCGTTGGCGTTAGACTCAAAGCTACTGTCCCGCCCTAGTCGTCACGATTTCCCCTCTCGCTAGGGTTTTTTTTTTCTCCTTCTTTCATATCTCTTAATCTCTCTCTCGATTTCGCCCTCTCTAAGTCGATTATCGGTCTGCTCTCTTCGATTTCTCTAGTCACTTTCCGGTCGTCGGCCGACAATCCCCACTCGATCTGTTCCGTCCTCGGTTGGGTAAGTTTTCTTCCTTCACAAATCTATCCCTCTCATTTGATCTTCTCGTTTGACTGGAATATGTGTCTATCAGCAAGTAAATAACCACGAAATAAGAAAGGTGATTAGTGGTTTGGTCCTGCCAGGTCTGTCAAGTGTTATTTTCCTTTAAATTTTTCGATCTGTGTACACTCTATTTAGTTCGTAATTCACTGAATTGCCAAATGATGTTGGGACATTGCGCAAGGGCTTTGAGTTCATGTAACATGCTACTTTGAGCAGTGAAATTATTTATATGAAATCCCCTCTGATGGCAATGGTAGTTATTTGAAGTTYAATTTTGCCTTTTTTCTAGAAGTTAGACGTTAAAGGATTAAAAGTTCAGCAAAGAACTGTTTTCTTTACCCTTTTTGTTTGATGCTAGTTCTTACCAAAAATGTACTGACTGGCCTTGTGTTATGCACTTGGGTTATGCCTCTAAGTGGGTCTTTGATTTAAGGCACTTRGTTAATGCAATGAAATGCTATAGTTGCTTCATTTTTATGGAAACCAACCATACACGGAGGTGAGGGCATGGGCATTTTATCAATTTGATACTTTAAAAAACCAATGGGCTGTTTGTTTGACCGAGGGGTCTGTATCTAAATGCAGCATCTGTTTAGTTCCTCGTGTTGTCTCTTGCTTTGATGAAGTATCTAACTTACCTGTCTTTATCTTATTGTAGTCATAAATTTGGATGCCACCATGTTTTCCAAAATAAAGAAAAAAAGATCATACGAGCTTCAGAAAAATTCATCTGATCTTAACAATGTTATATAGACGACATTAAGACTGTTTTAGTGTCTCATGTTTGAATTATGTTTTCTAATGATTTAGCCTTGTAAATCTGTATCATATATAACCTAAAATGCTCTGCTATAATAACACGTGCATCATGCGTACACGTAATTCTGCTATGAATGGACCCTCAAGAGAGTAACTTATGAAATTTGAATCACAACTTGCAGTTAGTTATGTGGGGAATGCACATTTAGCTGTTTTGATTGCATGAATGAGAGTTAGCTGCCGAGTAATTGATCTATTTAGTAAACAATGATCTATTTTTACAGTTATAATTGTTCATTCCTTATTTGAGATTTCAGCATTTACTTCTGTCACCAATCAATGAAGCATATTGTCAAGATTTTGACATTATTGGTGGCCATATCAGCCCTGTGGATTGGCCTCTTACAGACATCAGTTTTACCACATAACCATGCTTGGTTGGTGAGTTGACATTCAGTCATTATTTTCTTAAATCCTTCATATTTATTTCATCATTTTACTCTCAATTGTTCTTACTATGCATGTTTTTATCACGCCAGTTACCCATCTATTTAATTGTCTCCCTCGGATGCTATGGTCTGTTAATGGTTGGAGTCGGTCTAATGACATTTCCAACTTGCCCCAGAGAAGGACTGTTGTTACAGCAGGTATCGCCTCTCTCTAATTTCCACTTGGCACTTTCATACCATACAACAAATGACCCGCTCTCTCTCTCTGGAATGTTCTTCAAATTTTCCATATCATACATCATTACTAAGACTGGAATGTTCTCATTTGGAACTTCTCTCTCTCTCTCTCTCTCTTGGATTCCTTTTGTAGGACATTGATGAGGCCAAAGAGTACCTTAAACAAAAAGGGGTTGACATAAGTTCTAATTGACAGACTTTACAATCCTCTGCCTTCTCTCCTCTTGATCAGATCTCTGTTTGTTTGGTGTTAAGGTGAAGAAGAACTCTTCACCCATCTCAAAGGGTCTTTTTGATTTGAATCTTTATGAATGGTAGTGAATGTGGGTTCATGTATAGAACAAAGCTGTTTCTTGATAATTCTTTCAGTTGATAATATAATCCTTCACATGTTGTCAGAGGTAGCATCTCTCTCTCTCTCTCTCTCTCTCTCTCTCTCTCTCTATGTTTTCATCTTTTATTTGTCGCAGGCCTGAAGAACAATTATATCATAATCGTACTTTTAGATGCCTTTGTAAATTTTGGCTTCGATCTTTACTATTTAGATGTCTTTGGAAATTCAAGAGTATTTGTGTTTACTTCATAGGTTCGGATAAAATAAGGATGGGTGGACAAAGAATTCGGTTTAAAATGCCCTTTTTTATTTTTTTGATTCACCTTTTCTTGATTTTCTCGAATCATCGTGCCAGATTAATATTTAATTAATAGGTTTATTAGAATAAAAATCTAAAGTTAATGAAGGAATTGAATTTTTAATAAATGTGTGGACTAAATAGATATCATTATCTATTAATTTGTAAATAAACTCAATTTTTATTATATTTAAAACTATTCAAATTAAATAAAAATATAGCAAATTAGATAAAAATATTTTGAAAAATTGTCGTTTTTATTATACTCTAGTCTAGCTACTACCTGGTAAATTAAACTTATAAAGAAAAGTTTTTCAAAGACATTTACAGAATTTTTATATGAACAAAAGAAAAACTTTTTTGAAAATAGTCTCAAAACATCTTCTAAGTTCTAAATAAGGGGAAAATATTCAGATACTTCAATCCAACGGTCGACATCTGTCTCGCGGTCTGGAAAGTGGAAATATACGGTCTAAGTCTAACAAACAGCAGAATAAACCCAATTTCATGGAAAACTCTTGAAAAAATAAATAAAAAAATAAAGAAAAAGAAATCTCGACAATTCTCCTCTTATTACGCCAGAAGCCGCTAACCTCATCTCCCTCTTCGCCTGCAACCGTGGAGGCCGCTCTCTGCTTCTGCTTCTCACCACTCTTCTCGTTCTCTCCCAGACACTTCAGAGAGCCACGCTACTGAGAATCGAAGCAGAAGTGTAACGCCAAACAGGTTTTTCTTCCATTAATTTCGACTCACATGCCCTAACTTCTTTGTTCTCTAGCTTCATGAATTATAGCTTATTCGAGCGATTGATGTGCCACTTTTTGTATCAGTCTCTGAGTTTTCTTGTAGCCTTTTGCTGTCTACAATTTTGTAACCAGTTCTTTTTCTTCCTTTCTTTGTTTTTGCTTTTGTGATATCGATTTTGTTTTGTCTCGGTTGATGTGTTGTTTATTGCCTGTGAAAATGAAAAACCTAATGAGACCGTAGTTTGGCGTTTATTGCGTAGCGTTTTCTAGGCCGTGTCTGAATTTCTTTTCGTTTGAAATGAGTTATGTGTTGGGACTTGGGAGTGAGTCTGAACAATTACTCCGTACCTCAGATTCTGGAGGCTTGGCCTACATTGACATTTCCGGATTAAGATTATTTTCTCCTGGAGAGAGGAGGGAAACGAATGTCACTAAGAGAGTAAACGTACATAAAAGGAAAAGAATTCGATGCTGTTGCTGTGAACGAAAGAAAGTTTTGTCTCGAGTATTGGCTTTTCATAAAAAGAAAGTTTTGTCTCGAGTATTGGCTTTTCATAAAAAGAAAGTTTTGTCACTATTCACATGCCGTTGTGATTGCGTCCAATTTTGGAGGGCTACCCAACAATAACTGTACTAGTTCATTTCTCCTGCTCTTTAGTGCTTTTGATTACATTGAAGATTTGGTGTTAGAGATCCAGAATGATAATTAGTTGTTACAGGAGTTGTTCTCCATTTAAGATTGGCATATAAGTAGCAAGACGTTGTTTAATTTGTCCATAGGAAAAGCAAATTGTCTTTTGCGTTGGTTTAATGTTTGGGTAATGTCTTGTGTTAAGTGGAATAATTCATGTTTACGGTCATTGATCTGCAGAATCCTATCAAGAGTAAGTTGCTTTTTCATTAGCTCCTACATTGCTCAACATGGTTTCAATGGCCATTATACCTTGTGGAAGTGGATCAGTTGCTCAATGGGGAATTCGTCCTCAGTGTATGCTCAGACCTTCAACAAATAAGATATCTCCAATCCAATATCGGTACTCTCTCTCTCTCTCTCTCTCTCTCTATCCATCTTTTCTTTTTCAACTTCCAGTTATAGCAATAAAACGCCAGAGAGGTTTCCAAGTGTGCATGGTTCTTGTTGCTAGCAGATTATTGGGAAATTTGAAAGGAGATAGCCTACAAAAATTCTATTATGATGTAATGGAATTACTTAACTGGTCTAGTTGCTTTTTGATCTCTCAAGTCCTACACTATGTTATTTGAATGGTGTAATTGATTTCTATTTACAGACATGGAGACTTAGTATTTAGGACTTGTTTGGAAACTGTTTTCAAAACAATTTACTATTTTGTAGAACAAATGTTCGGTGAAAATGTTTTTGATTACTGTTTTTTAGAATTTTTTTATTTGGACGTGTCATTCCTTCAAAAATCATGGATGTGTGAAAAGCGATTTCAATTTATGCAAAAGCTTCAACTTTAACAAGTCATTAACTACAATTTCCAAAAAAGTTTTGAAAACCAAAACAGAAAACTAGTTTCAGAAAATTTTCCAAACCAACCTTGGTTGCATGAACTCATGGAGATTTTATTGAGAGTTTAATTTTGAGCTATCAATGTATGTGAAAGAAAAAAAAAATTGAATTTTGGCCTGAAATTAAGATTTAGTAGCTTTTTATTGGGGATGAGCTTTGCTTTCTGTCCTACTAAGATCYGGTGGTGTATGTATTTGGATTAGATTCATTGTAACTCCTTGATCATTTTTTCTGTGTCACTTGCAAATAACTGTTGAAGGAGCCAATACAATTGGTATATAGACAACCACATATAACATAATTTGATTATTTGAGTAATAAATGCACGAGGATATATTTTCTTTTTTGTATTTCAACTTCTTTCTTGACATTGTAGTGTTTCTAGCAGGGTCAGCAACATAGCAGCACTAAGCTCAAGCTTATTCTCTCGGGGTTCCTTGAATGTTCTATTTGACATGAGACCCTCACAAACTTCACATCGACGGAAGGGCGGGTTGCTTGTTGTTAGAGCAGATAGTGTGCGTACAATTTTTGTTTCTCCCTTCCCTACCCTCCCCCCGATAGAGAGAGAGAGAGAGAGTTTGTGCTGCAATTATTTGCCAAATAACGCTCATTAATTAATTTGCAGGATTATTACTCTGTCCTCGGGGTGTCCAAAAGTGCCAGTAAAGCTGAAATTAAAAGTGGTATTTATCTGTTACTCAGATGTTTGTCAAACCTTTTAGTTTTTAATAGTTTGACGTTTTGCTATTTTTGCATGTCTTGAACACCCACCCCACTCCCTGCAGAAAAAGAAAGACTTTTCATTTCTCTTTTTTGTTTTCCACAGATTTAAGGTAGTTGTACGTTGAACCTAATTGTATCAACAAATTATTGAGTCTCAATTGGTTTAAATTGAATTTTTGCTATAGGATTTGAGTTTTCTCTAGCCATTACATTGAGTGTTGGAGATCTCTCCTACATTTAGAATTTAGATAAGGTAAATAAACTCATCACATGATAGAAGATAAGATTGATAGAGTTGGAAGAACTTTCAATCTTGATCCATTATAACTTTACATCTGTGTGGCCAGTTTTATTTTAGTTGATTCTATCAAGTTTTTAATTGACTGGGTGGAATATATCCTGTCAACCTGTCATTGGCTTCATGCTTGTTCGATTGAGTTTGTTTTTGCTGGGCTTAATTCTGCTTATTGTTTTATCTTTTCTCCCTTCTTTTTTCCTGTTTTTATTTATTTATTTATTTTATTTAAATCACCTCAATATGCATGCTTTGTTATTGGGATGTATTCCACTGCTTGTTGATGACCATTATCTRTTATGCATAAAAAAAATATCTCATTTATTCTATGGTTCCTTCAGTGTCCTGATAAGAACCAGAATTTGAGAATGACATTGATCGAGATATGTAATTGGAATTGCTAATGAAAAGAAAAAATATATATATATCAGGGATTACTAAAAAATCGAGAAGTTTATTTCTCTCCCAATTTGTTATGGTAACAAACGTACCTCACACTATAGCTAATAACTAATATGGTCCTATTAACCACCCCATCGTAATTCTATCCCGTGCTATACTTCTAGGGAGGATTCTATAGCTAATAACTAATATGGTCCTATTAACCACCCCATCGTAATTCTATCCCGTGCTATACTTCTAGGGAGGATTGATATCTGATTCTGGATTTTACTTAACGTAATACCTATTGCTCACATTGAACAAAACCTTGTGTGCGTGCTGAGAAACCAAGAAGTTTTGTCATTAGGGTGAAAGGATAGGGTACTTCCAAAATAAGAACAAAACTAATTTAAAAACGAACGAGTGTCCAGTAGGATGACATATTGGTACTTAAGCCCAGCAGAAGTAAATGATAGGTGATTATGTTCTTTGAGGGCCAAGTATGCCATTTCAAGACATGAATTTGAGCAGAGACCTTTTCTGACGTATATCAAATTTTTTACTCGTTTCATCTACTCGAGTAATACTCCTAGATATTTCTTATTCTTCATACATTACCTTACCACTCTTGGTACGATTTTTTGCATTCTCCAGCTTATCGGAAGCTTGCTAGGAGTTACCATCCGGATGTGAACAAGTAAGTTAAATAACTTCTTGGTGAAAAAACTGGGCAACCTAACAGACGTGACTAGATCCCTATTTAATCTTGATATTACGATCTTAGTTTAGTTATTCTTTATTTTCTTATTAGAGCTATAGTTCAGTGGATTTGGATAATTTGTATTTTGTAACCAGTTTTTCCCTGTTCTATCAGAGATGCTGGGGCTGAACAAAAATTCAAGGACATTAGTAATGCTTATGAAGTAAGAGTCTTGTAGATTACTCATGTTTTTTTTACATGTCACTGTTTGGAGTTGTGATATATCCTAGGAATTTACGTGTTTCAGGTCTTGTCCGATGATGAGAAACGCTCGCTCTATGATAAATATGGAGAGGCTGGCCTTAAAGGTGCTGGTATGGGCATGGGGGTAAGTAATTCTCTGATGGAAATATGAAAAATATTTTAATGAATTTTGTTTTGCCCTGACCCCTGTTGTTCGTCTATGCTTCTTCAGGATTTCAGTAATCCTTTCGATCTCTTCGAGTCTTTATTTGAGGGCATGGGTGGCATGGGTGGTATGGGCATGGGAGGCAGAGGTTCTAGGAGTAGAGCAGTTGATGGACAAGATGAGTACTACAATCTTGTATTAAACTTCAAGGAAGCCGTTTTCGGTGTCGAAAAGGAGATTGAGATTAGCAGACTGGAGAGCTGCGGGACTTGTGAAGGATCTGGCGCTAAACCTGGAACCCAACCAACTAGATGTAGCACATGTGGCGGGCAAGGCCAAGTTGTCTCGTCAGCAAGGACACCGTTAGGTGTCTTCCAACAGGTAATGACGTGCTCTTCATGTGGTGGAGCTGGGGAGATATCTACACCTTGCAACACATGTTCTGGGGACGGGCGAGTCCGGAGGACAAAGCGGATAAGCTTAAAAGTTCCAGCAGGTGTTGATGCTGGTAGCCGTCTGAGAGTTCGAAATGAAGGGAATGCAGGAAGACGAGGGGGGTCTCCTGGGGATCTCTTTGTTATTATCGACGTTACGCCTGACCCTGTCCTAAAACGTGATGATACCAATATCTTGTATACTTGCAAAGTCTCCTACATTGATGCCATCTTGGGCACTACCATTAAAGTTCCAACTGTAGATGGCATGGTTGATTTGAAAATCCCAGCTGGAACACAGCCAAATACGACACTCGTGATGTCGAAGAAAGGAGTTCCTCTCCTAAATAAAAGAAATATGAGGGGAGATCAGTTAGTTCGCGTGCAGGTCGAAATCCCGAAGAAGTTGAGCAGTGATGAGAGGAAGTTGATTGAGGAACTCTCGGATTTGAGCAAAGGCAAAGCTGTGAGCAGTAGGAGATAGTCTCCATAGAAGTAAAGCCAGATCAGAAATGATCGGTTTTTACTCGCTCGTTTTGCTGGTACCGCTCGTTTGGTTGGTTGGAAGGATTGATACTCGTGTACCTTGTAGTAATAGGTAATTCAATGTTAGTACAATTTTGTCAACAGTATCTTGAATTATAGGAAGAAATGTAAATCAAAGATAACTCTTTGATCATGAATATTTCATTACAGACGTATTCTGGTGGATTGATTCATATAATAACCCTTTTATTCTTCCCAATTTGACCGTTGAGTTAGAACTTTGAAGATGCACATTTTTTGGGGGCTTCTCACTTCTCTCTTTGCTTTTCCTACACTTTGTACTTTCTAGAACTATAAATTTTTTTTTGTTGACATCCGATGAATTCGGACCAGTTTTCACGTACCTTGATTAATCTCATAGGTTAGCTGTACCTGTCTGATACTATAACATTGGGTGTTGAGAGAATTAATTTTAGAATTAATTTATCTCATAGGTTAGCTGTACCTGTCTGATACTATAACATTGGGTGTTGAGAAAATTAATTTTAGAATTAATTTTAAGGTAAGTAGTTATAAATTGAGACCTATAATTAGGATTTCTTCTCAAGATTCTAGTGGTTATTTTTCATTGCATATTATCCTTTGCATACATATTTTTTACTACTAAAATAAAGGCTAAAAATAACATTTTAGTTTATGAACATTAAAAAGTCAAAGATTTTGATCATTGATASTATCTCGGGTAGAAGCTAAAATAAATAAACTAATATTCTAAAAGTTTAGAGACCAAAATACAATAAACTTTTTAAATTCAAGACTAAAATGAAATTTCAACCTAAAATAAATAAGTTCGAACTTTATCTTTCTTATTATCTTTTTTSGTAAAAGAAATTTAATGGGCTTCAGTGGCGGGGCTTACTAGCATGAAACCAGGGTCCAGCCCGATTTCTTATTCCAACACGAAGCTTTCGTTTCCACTTTCGAGAGGTTCGCGATTTGCAGGGTTCGGTTTCAGCTGCTCATAGACGCTGTCTTGGAGAGAATCTGCACGAGCAAAGAAGCCAATAACATGGGAAGCAGACTCGGAAGAAGAGTTGTTCACTTCGCAAATCTTCCAATCAAGCTTCTTATGCCGACCTCCTTCTCCAACATCACAGAAATTGCCCTCAAAACTATTCCCTCTGCTTCCAAAATCGAAATCAAGCGCGTCCTTGAGAGCCTCTACGGCTTTGAGGTCGATAAAGTTCGAACTCTCAATATGGAGGGGAAGAAGAAGAAGCGAGGAGGGCTTTTGATCGCAAAGCCCGATTACAAGAAAGCCTATGTTACTCTCAGGAATCCCTTGTCAATCTCTCCGGACGTCTATCCAATCCGGATTATAGAGGAGGAGAAGAGGAATATGAATAAACAGTCTAAGTCCAGCATTGTGGAGGAGGGAGAGGCTAAGAGGCATTGGCTGCATGGGGAGGAGGTGGAGAAATTCAAAGCTTATAAGGGTTCTGCTGATAGAGGCCGCCGACGAACTGACCGCGCTGAAGCTGCCGAACCATCGACTAAGTTTCCTTGGAGTAGCATGAGATCTGCTAGGTAGTTTGCAGAAGCATATCCCAGTTAGTTCTTAATTGTGATTTGTTTTGGATTTTTTTCTTAAACGATGATAATGTAATAGGTTGATGATGTCTTTGAGCTTAATGATAACTGTTATGGATTTTTTAGTTGTGAAATGAACTCTTGTTGGCCCTTTAATGGGGCGTTTTGCTGGGAAGTTCTGTTTTGTTGCTTAAATCAATAAAGAAGTTATTGTATTATGAAATTTTGATTGCATAGAAGTAATTATTTTGATAAATATTTGTTCTTCATTGCAGAAAGTATTAGCTATTGTCATTTGTCTGCCTTACAACTTCTCAAGTAAAAAAGAATCCCTTTTTCTATCATTTTTTTATGAAATATTTTCTTTTGAAAAAAGAAAAAAGAAAAAGAAATGATATATTATATGTATTCTGCAAGGTCAAGGTGAACCGTATTAGAAAGCTGGAGTGTTGTGTCTTTATATAGCTACAAGACTATCATGCACAAGTAGAATAGCAACTTCTTCGGGCCTCTGGCTTATCTTTGTGAAGTGAAGCAGACTAAATGTGAATCATTTAGCTTTTAGGGGATTCTGATATCTAAATGCTTCAGGTCATTGATAATCTACGTCTTAAGGTCATTCGTGAACTAGTCCGACTGGGTCTCTGATGGGCAGTTTCATCCCCATCAGCTCTTGTGTGGAAAGAATTCTTTATCTTCTTCCAACCAAAACCCCAACCTGCTAGATTTTTCTGCTTGTTGCTTAGTTTTTCATACTCTTGTTGCAGCTCTGAGTAGTCACTCTGCAACTCTGCCATCTGTGCCTTCACATTCTCAAGTTCTTCCTTCAGGGTTTTAATCTCTCTGTCTGTTGATAAATGGTTACCTTCTTGATCCGAGTTATCACAACTTGGTGCTTTATCCTTCTCTTGCATTACTGACCTCATCTTCACTTGCTCTGAAAACAAAACCTGCATACTCACTCATAAGTACTGTGATTTACACTTAGAACTCTAATTGTTTACTGAGCTGGACCTATGCTCTTAGTTTTGAAGGATTTTTGGATGATTGTTTATCCTGTAAAATCTTTCAAATCAGTGATAGTGATTATGTAGTACAAAAAGATGCAAAAATCTAATATTTCAGTCTTCTCATAGCTCTAGTTATTTTTTTTTTTTTTTTTGATAAGAAACTTAGAGAAGTGTATTAATCACAAAAGGGAGAACAACCTAAGCTCTAGTTATTTTCTGGTTGCTGAATGTCAATCATATAAGTGAAGAATATGTTCTTCCTTATGCGAATTGTAATACTAATAGAACAGAAATAGGTCTTTTTTAGTAGTGTTATGACAGAGAATGAATAGGAGGAAATTATCAGAGAATCTATTGGGGGTTGGGGATGGGGCTCAGGTGAAGATGCTGACAAGATCTACATTTTGTCGATGGTATTAACTTTTTCCTTATTTCAATTTTGGATACCTGTTATGCAGTATTAAGTATTTATGGCTAACCTTTTCTCTCTATCAAGAAATAAGGGCAACTGGTATTAATGAGCTATATCCTTTTTTTGTCCACGTTTGAGAGCCTATGTGTAACCATTATGTTCTGATTCTTGTATCTGTTGAATTTCTGGGTTCAACTTTCTAGTAAAGCCTCATTCTCATTCCCTCCTCCTCCTCCCTGTCCTATTATGCGATTATAAATTGCCACTTTCTTATCTTCTTTGCATGTTCTTTAATCAAATTCTATGGTCTAAATAAGTTGCTGGGCTTTTTTGTAACTGAATTGCAGTAAGTTATAGGGCTTATATAATTGTCACCTGAACTACAGTTCTTAGAGGCAGTCGATCATTTTGTGCAGCATGCACACAAGCATCGAGAGATAGTTTCTCGCAGTTCATGATTTTGCATAGCTTTCTCCGATCATGCTCAGATAGTAAAGGATGAGTCTGTAGAGGAGAATATTTTGTAAGTCTCTAAAGTGAAATTTCTTATATCCATCCAAGCATGTATATGCTTTTGCAATTGACAAAATTATTAAAAAAAAATAGATAACCAATATGCAACCTTGAGGTAGGTGTCAATGGCTCTGTATAGTCCATCATGGCAATGCCTTGCATTTTCTGACATTGAGTTGGCTAAAGTTTGAAACTTGGTGATAGAGAGATTTGGATCTCTAGCAAGTTCAGCTAGGTAATTGTCTATGAGTTTACATACATTAGAGTTCCCAATTCTCTGTTGCTGCTGTTGCTGTTCAAACAGTGAGTAATATTCTAGGATCCTTTGCACTACTTCTATGTCATGCATAGTGCATTCTTCTTGTGTACTGAGGAGCAAGTCATTGATGAAAAATCAAAGTATTTTCAATAAAGAAAAAATAAAAATCAAAGTATATAACAGAATTTGATAGCGCATCGGAGACTTCTATTTGTTATGTACCGAGCTTCGAAAAACAATACTTACTTTGGCAATTTTCCTTGGCCATTCTTTGTATAACCAGGAATTAGAAGATCAATCACATTGGCATCCTCCAACACCATCCCTATTCTTTTCTCTAGCTCTGAAATTAAAGCTGCTGATGCAGAATACGCCCTAGCCATCTTTAGCATCTGCAACAAAAACTTGCACGAAACGGCTTCTCGTTGAGGTGGAAGTATGCTTAGTAGGCTTTCAATAATTTCTTTATGTTCCTTGAATCCAATTCCCATTTCATCTTTCCTACCACTCAAAATACTTATCTGCAGGTCATTTTTTTCCTGTGTATAATCTCTGAGTCCTGGTTCCATTTCAATGCCTGGCAACCACTTCCTTGCATAGTGCTCAATGCTCTGACCTATAATCTCTGGCTTTACCCCTTTTGCTCTTATTGCAGTTATGATTCTTGTGAAATAGTCTATGCGAAGCATGGTTAAATCATTAAACCACCACCCATCTTCTCTGACTGTTTCTCCTATTATGTTCTCTCTAGAGAGTTTCCTGGCTATCGAGTCACAGCATCGTCTCACAATTTGAAGATTTTCAGCCCATGGAGAGAGACTCTGACAAGTTTTGAGAACAGTCAATGATTCTTTCAATGACAGAAGGACTACAAATGTGAGGAAGGACTCTGTCTTAGAGATGAGGTTTCCATCTTCAAATTCCTCCGTCATCTCCAAAAACTCTGATGCACATCTTAATGGGGCTACGTTGATTGAGTTCAGGTCAACTGGGAAACCATAACAGTATTTGAGGATCACTTCGAATGTTTCTGATCCGCCCGGGAAGTCTTCAAGCTTTAGGTTGTAACCCCGGGTTGAGATTGAAGGTTGAAGTTCCATTCGGCCTACGTAGCCACATTTCGAGATCAATGTGTACTGTTCAAGGAAGATGCAGGTGAGAAGCTGTCTCTTACATATTCATTACATATTCATTTACTATTGGCAACTAGAATGAGCTGATACATTGGAATTATAGACAAGGAAAAAATTTTGAGAAATAGAAAGAATGTCTCTGTTAGTTTGTTGTGCAATCTTGTTCCTTGATGAGGAAGACAGGCTTCAAGAATTCTTTTGCTGCATTTCATTTTTAATATTAAGCAAATTTGAGCTTTCTTGCATATGGCTAGTTAGTYAGTTACCTTGTGAACATTGAAGGTGATCTCTTGAACTTGAATTGTCAAGTCTGTTGGGATCTGAGTGGTGATAGACCTGCGAAGTGAGACCAGAGATGCCATTAAAAAAACTCTATATGGAACATGTTCAGAAGAAGGCCTAGAGTGAACTTAAGGTTCTACCATGCTTGATCTTTCCTGCTGGGGCAATCGGCTGAGACGAGCTTGTTTGGAAGCACGATCCTCTGGTCGGGATCCTGCTCGGCTCCATCTGAATCGCTCCCAGGATTTTGCATTCCAGTCAGAGACTTCATGTTCATGGTTGAGACTCGCTCTCTCTCTCTGACTGACTGTATCTCCTATTATGTTCTCTCCTCTCTCATGGATTTCCATCTGGTTTCAGGAGTGAAATAAATGCAAGAGAAGCAAGTATGTGGCTGTGGATGGGAGCAGCCATTAAAGAGGGTCCATGGAAATGGTGGTTCATTTGTTGTACCAAAATGAGAGACACTGGTGGGAGATTGGTATTGTGCTCATTTATGAGGGAGATGAGGAATGTTGGGTATGAGTATGACTTGTATCTTCATCTACGTCTACTATGATTCAACCAATGGATGTGTGTGAATTGGACGTTTAGATGCCCAATATTTTGAAATMTTCTTTTTTTTTTCTCATCTCTACGGATGTTTATGAATTTCGTATCGATGTGGGTGAATCAATGTTTTCATAGTATCGTAAAAAAATTTGATAAAATATAAAAAATATCACTAACATGGACATAATATTAATTATTAATAAAATTTAACTTATTTAAAACAAGTTAAATGTTTATTTATTATTTTAAATATTTATTACGAATTTTTTATTTCTAAATTTTTTTCAGAAATATCCACCGACATGACATTTCAATAAAATTCAGACTACTATATTTTCATGGTCTTGGATCAAATCCCTATCTCCACGTTGTACTAAACGAATAAGAAAACATGATTTGGTCATGTTATCTGAAAGACACAATACTGTGACCTATCCATGTAGTGCACTTTTTCAATTACTTTAAAACTACATCTTCTTATATGTCATTTTAGCATCTTTATATTTTTTAACATTTACAAATAGAATAGCACTAGATTGAACATATTCAATTATCTTGTTCATCTGTTCACGAAGTTAATGTTTTAAGGAATAGTCCTAACAGAACCAATCATTTTGATTTGGTTTATGCTAATAATTTTTTCGAAATTGAATTGATATATGCCGAGTAGAATGTCATTTTTAACTATGTTCTAATGAAATGAACGCATAGATGATTCATAATTTAGTAAATACTCGATAATGTAGTGGTAGATATAAAAAATGGTTTAGTTTCAATCTTAGTTAAAATTTAGTTGAGACAYAAATCAGATCATGTATTTTCAATACTAAAACGATGCAAGTATTGGTTTGTCAGTTTTCTGGTTGCTATCTCCCTTACTTGAAACTCTCATTGAAAAGAAAAAATCGTTTTATAATATTCTTAAAATCAATTGAAAGCTAACTAAAAACTTGACAAGACAATTTTTATTAAATAATAGCTTCTTAGAAAATGATAAAATTATTATTTTTTAATTTTTTAGAGTATTGCTTGAAGGATCAATTATCCAGGTTTTAAAATTGAAGGACAGATGCCAAAGAAGTATTAGGCTGTTAGACACACTGTGGGAAAATTCATATCAAATTGAAAAAAAAAAAAGTTATAACAATCATTTCAATGAAAAAGAAAAAAAAATATATCATGAGTACAGCTAATTAAAGTATTTTGCTCATTTGCTGGAGATGGGAAGATTCAATTTCCCACCCACACATTTATTTACACTAAAAAATATTGACCTTTTAAGAAGAGAATTTTGTACCAGTCAACAAAATGAAAAAATTCTTTTCAAAATTATTTCAAGAGTATTATACTTCCCCAAGTTACAATTGAAGTATTTAATATTAGATTTAGAAAAAACGAATTCCAGTCACTAAAGACTAAAATATCTACCAAAATGTCAATATTTCTATATTTTCAATATACTAACAAATTATTCATGAAATCACCGGTATAAACATAAATACTACTAATAAGATTTACATGAATTATATCAATTAAAAAAATTCATAAATTTCTTAGTTTTCACAAATTTTCCATCAAAATCACTATWTTCACATTTCTATAAAACTAAGACCTCAACCTTTCTTTTCTATCAACGATTTGGAGATTTCAATATTCTTTACCAACGCATTCACCAGTGTGATCAATTCCTAAGGCAACTAGAAAGTGGAAGGCATTTATGTACAAAGGTAACAATCACATACCTTAAAATATGTTCTACAAGGAGATAAAAATTAAAAACCAACTATTTTAAGAGACTATGGAAAGGCAAAGGCAAAACCAGACAGCAGAAACTGTTACATAGCAACAACAGACCCATCTCCACCCTGCTGCCTTACTCTCAGAGTCAAATATATCAATATCAAGGTTCCCAAGCTTGACCTGTAATCATTGATAAAAACTAATTAAAGCAAAACCTGATATTAGAGAATCATCATTGTTGTTAGTGTTACACTATTAGTATTGGGTTTTTTAAAATATAGTGCCATTTCACTTTCTAATGTATGAGGTAATTTTTGCATTGCTAAACCTTTTTTATCTATACTGATGATAGTTGATACCCAAAGAGCATTCTTTTCCTCAAAAAAGGAAAAATAAAAAGAAAAGAAAAGAAAAGAAAAAGGACAATATTCCAAAAGTGCTAAGAAACAATTTTCAGATCTTATCAAAAGATTTAAGAATATTTAAAAGTACTCTAAATAAAGCACTTTTTCTAAAGTGCCAACAGAATTAACAGATGGGATGTGTAATAGGAAATGAACATTATTCGAAATAAGTTATAGAAAAGATATGTTCAAATGATAATTTGCCAAAAGGATCAATCGCGATGTAGAGAGGAACAGGTGTATTTGCTTTCTAGAGGTAAATTGTATTCTTTCGTAATGGTGTGGCTAGCCACTTAATGCCCAAAATTTAACTCACTACTTGGACTGGACTAAATTGGCAAGATTTGAGATTTGGTACTCACAATACTGAGAAGAGAATAACAATCTTTCTTGAATCAAACGAGGCGGCACGTTTATATTTTCTCCACCGGTTGTTTGGCATGTCGTGAACCCTCTCGGTCCCTAATTTTTCTGTTAAACCACACACAAGAAATAGAAAACTTTAGGGTTCGGTGATAAGTTGACTCAGTACATCACCAACTTTAATATCTCTTGCACTGATGTGCAATTGTTGAAAGCCTTAGGGTATAGCATCGTAAGAGAGATCTTGAATGGGGGAAGATAAAGATTATGACAAAATTTATGTGGACAGCTTATGCAAACAATAATCCCATGTTCAGATTTGATAAATTTTTAGAATTAAAAGATTGTATATATAAAAAGTTAGAACTTAAAATTTTACCCTTCCATGAAAAAATTTATAGCTTCGCCCCTTCTGCTTGAAAAGGGAAGGGATCACATCATGATCAGAGAAATTTTATCTACTCTTCAATGAATACGCTTAGAAATGACAAGAAAAATATAAATCCCAGATATCCCTTGAGGTTTTTATTTCAAGCAATGGTGCAAACTGCAGCCTATCAAAATATTAAATATCATATGAGTTTCTTGAACCTAAATGTTCTATGGTTAGGTCCTAGAATAAGTCGAGATGCATAGAAGTTGGCCCCATTGACATGATTACTTTTTGAAAAATAAAAAGAAAAAGTATTTACCCTGTTTTAGGATTTTCTATGGGAAGTTAGTTCATTGTTTTTAAGCACTATCAAATGGGGCGCATACCTTTAGTCGAGAACTTCAGTAACATCAGTCCATGGTCCAACAAATATTGCACAAGTTTCACGCCCAATTTAAGGCTGGACTGTCTCTGCAATACCTTCTCTATGCGCTGTAAGAGATGAAGTAATATGTCAAAATACAGAAGAGCACTTGAAAAACCACTTCAGTATGTAAATCTAAATCATTATTTTAGGATCAAGAATCCATCTATGGCCTTTTCTTTTCTTTTTCTCTTTCTTTTTCTCTTTCAATTTAGGGAGAACCAAACTCAAAAATCTGAGTGAACAGATTAGTTCACTTACCACCAATGTATTGTCAGTTTTCAAACTTTCAAAAATTCCGTCACAGGGTTTAGACGTTTTCAGCTTGTCCTTATCTATATCAATATTTACTATGCACGACGAATAAGCATCTCCACCATTCACATGTATGTCAATTACGTTCTGGCAAGTCAAGCGGGTATCCGAAGTTTCCAAGGACATCCTACTTTTCGTTGGATGGGTAACTTCCAGGATGCTGAGGAAAGCTAAATGTGGATCACAATCTGGACTATTGTCAAATTCCTCGTTACTGCCAGAGGAATCACGGACCTGCACAAATAAAAATTATTTAAAAGAAACTCTCAAGGCATACACAACTATTTTAAAATAAAATTAGTACAGTGTGAATCATCCAACTGGGGTAAGTTTGAGTATTTTTAAGGGCGAGATAGAAAAGAAAGTGACAACAAGAAGTAAATAGGATCTTTTTGAAGTAGTTTATCTTTACCAGATGGAAAAATATTGTGAGAGTTATAAATTTATCAAATATAATATAATAAATTCAACGGAAATAGACAACGCGGGAAAATACGGTGTAGAGCCAATAATGTTCGAATAGGAGAAGAATCTGATTGGGACTAATTCTCGTGGGAAAAGGAATACAACAAAAGTAGGAGACTGTCCCCGTTAGATGTAAGGGAACTTTCAGTGTGTGGGCTTATTTTCTATTGCAAAAATATTAAAAAATTTCGACCATAATTTACTATTTATAAAGTAATCAACAGGGTAAAAATAAGATAATAATTGTAGATAATAATTTGATGAACTTAAAAGTTAAAATTAGCTAGTCAGTAATTTGATTTGTAATTGACGTACCAAAGTTTCACTTTACTTAGTATGATAACTGATTTACTCAACCTAAATGCACTGTTTGCTAGATTTGTTCTAATTTCAAATTTTCTTTTAGGCTATTTTCATAAAATTCTTAAATTGCTTTATCTGCCCTAGCTGTGTTCTTCTGCACATAACCAGGTTTCAGATACTTTGGCCAAAAGAAGAAAAACTCGAGCTCCACCAAGTTGTTATCAATAGAGAACGAGACACCAAAAAAAAAACAGTGGAAAAACAGTAAACCATAAAAAGCAAACTTACCGAAGAGCTTTGGAAGGGGAACGAAGCCTTCTCAAAGAGAATTGGCAAAATTTCTGAATGGCGATAACAATTAAYTATCAGTAACATGCAACTAGAAGTCTAAAACTACCGATGACTGGACTGACAAGATATAATTAAGAAAAATACCTAAAGAACAATGACGCTCCGCCTCGTCAAGTCTATTAACTTTCGCTAGTTTTTCTTGAACGTGAACTCCATTGGAAACCGCTGCGACCTGCAAAGAGACGGAAAAGTAAAATCCATTACTACTAAAACCAGCGCCTAAAACAAAATGCATAAATATAAAAACTTAAAACGAATATCCAGAGTCCAGATTCTTGTTTCTCAGTAAACAAACACTCCGGTAATAGCATCACCAGAAATTAGTAAACGAACGGAGAAACCAAATTAGCGAGTCTAGATTACAGAGCAGAAGAAATCGAGAACAAAAACAGCTAACCGGAACTAGCATTTGGTGATTTGCTAACAGACATTGAAAATGTCGACTAAAAACTAATAGAAAATACCATTACCTGACACTGATTAACAGCCATTGCTGGGAAGCTAGAGATTGAGTCTCGACCTGTGGCCTCGGCCATTAAAAAGCATCCAAAAATCAAATGAACCGTAGAGCGAGAGGGAGGAGAGAGAGAAAGGCTATAGATATAGACGTTGCATCGGAATCGGGAGCGCCTTTTTTTCTTTTTTTCTTTTTTTTCCTTTTTTCCCCTTTCTGATTGGCGCGATTTGGCAGGAGAGCCACTGCTGACGACGCCGACGACGACCACGACAGCCCATGATTTTATTTTCTGACCAAAATGCCCTTTCCGCATTATTTTAGAAATGCTGATGGCGTTTTGTTATATAAAATTTTGGCTTTTTGTTTTTAATTGTGGATTAAATAATAATTACTTTAAAAACACAAACAAACAGCAAAAATGGTTAGGTAGTCTCAACTTTTGATTTTTTTTTTTTTGGGTAGCGAACAAAGGAACAAAACAATATTATTTCAAAGATTACATTTGTCCAAATATTCTCAAAACTAACTAGTTGGTTAAGTCATCCATCACTTTCCATATTCGAATTTTTTTCAAAYGTTAAAAATTGTTTGGTAACAAATTTTTTCCATACATGTTTCTATTAAGTATTATATTTTTAATTTGTATTTTTCATGTTTATGTATTTTTCAATATATTTATATCTTTTTAATATGAGATCTTTAACAAATGTAAAATGCTTCTAAAATTATAGAACAAAATCAATTTTTTTTCTTATTTATATTTTCAGATTTTTTTAAATAAATAAAATCAATATTTTATCATTTTTCACTTATAAAATGCAAAAGTAAGATTAGAATACATTTAAGATAAAAATTTTCAATATTTAATTTTAAAAATTATTTGCATATAAAAAAATATTTTTTAATTTAAAATTCTAAAGAACGATAAATTTAAAAAAATGTTATCAAATATGTTTATGTTTCTTTTCTTAATAAAAACAAACCAGAAACAAGAAACCATTATCAAACTCATTCTCCTTCTATTTTTCTAAAAAGAAATGAAAACTGAAAACGTTACTAAACAAACATTTATTTTCTTGTTCTTAATTTTTAAGAGATATATGTGCTTGGTAAAGGTTTTTTTTTCAATGACGTATTTTAACTGATCATATATTTTGTAATCTTGTAAGTTTAAATTCGCATCAATTTGTTTAAATTGTAATACTCTAATACCAYAACTATTCTTTTTAGGGGAAAAATCTACTTTTTCTTTGGTTTCTATTTAAAAAAATTTCAAAACAGAAATAAAATGTCTCAAGATTTTAAAAAACATGAATAAATGTTTTATTTTATCACTTTTACTTATAAAGAGCATAATTAAAAAATATAAAAATAAAATAAGATAAAGAGAGACRGAAAAAAAACACGATGGTTTTAAAAATAGATATATGAAAATTACTTTCAAATAATTTATTTTTTTAATTTAAAAACGGAGAAAACAAAGAAAAACATTACCAAGTATATTTCAATTTTTCAATAAAAAAAACCACAAACAAAAAAGTAAAAATTAAAAGATGAGAAATAATAAATAATAGCGGAATTATACTGAGTATTGTCATATTTGTAAAATGAAAATTTTATAGAGCAGTTGTTTATAATTAATAATATTGTCTGTAAGTCTATCATAATAAACATATTCAAAAATTTTATTTGGGTTGAGTTTAAAATTGTGTGATATTTATAATTTAAAAGAAATGGTGATAGTGGTATACATGCAACTAGTCATAAATAATAAAGGTGAAAGTCATCAATTGGGCTCTWTAAAGTACAATAATATACTCACTATAATTTTATATAAATCTACATTATTCATTTCCATATAGAAAAATTCAATTGGACTGACAGCAAAAACAGAGATAACTAATTAAGACGAAGAGAGCAAAAGAAGATTTTAAAAGAAAGTCAGAAAATTCACGAGACAGAAAATAGAATAGAAAATTATTTAAAAAAAGGCCCAAATGGGCCCCCAGGCCGAGAGATCGGGCGACAACTTTTCACGTGAGATGGAAACGGGGGAATCGGGGAATAGAGGGAAAGGGGAGGGGCAAAAGGGGAAAAGGAAAGGTATTGGATTTTGTTTGTATTGTGCATGTGAAGGGAAGGAAGGGGAAGGCGAAACCATGAGCGCAGAAAAAATCAAACAAACAAAATGTCTAAATCAGTTCAGTTCACGGGTTGCTGAATTGTTTCAGGCTCCCTTTGCCATTCGGCCTTTTCCTTCCAACCCAACCTCACTGGCTTTTGACCTAAATGGGCCCACAATTTTATATCTTAGTTCCGAGCAGGAGAGTTGAATTTGGGTAGACGGTGTAATGGACACAAGTTCTACTACCTATCTTGAGATCTTGTGTTTTAACCTTGCAAAGGTACTCATAGTTATAGGAGTAGCAAATTAATTATGAGTATGAGTTATAAAAAATAATAAAGAATTTGGTTCGCTCGAGTCAATAGATTTTTGAGATTTAAACTTAATTATTTGGTCGATTTAAATATTGATTGATTGGTTGAGTAATATCGTTACAAAGGGAAAGGTTGTGAGATTGTGAGCAATTCACATGATTGATTGTTGATCCCTTGTTAATTGATTATGAGTAGCTTTGTCAAGATATTTTGAGCAAAGGTTTCTAATTCGACAAATTGAGTCCAATTTAATTCGATAATTACTTATTTCATTGTTTTAATTTGAATTGGAATTTTACTAGCACGTATGATTCGATAATTGAAACATCTCACAATTGAATCTCAATTAAAATAAACATACTTTCTTCACCTAAAGGATAACTTGATATAGCGGCTCTTCCTAAATGGTGCGAATAGAAGGAAAAATCATTCCCAAACTTAGAAACATTGGCTTTGAGGATATATTTACATATTTCTAAAAGATTTGATAAAATAGAATGTCATATTTTGTTTATAAATTTTTTACATCAACTCCAATTATATCATAATGTATTCAACTCCAATTATATCATAATGTATTAAAAATTTATATTCTAAAAGTTGTTATTATGGAGTAAATAATACAGATTACAAAACATATTTAAGCCTAACTCATAATTAACGCTATTATTTTTCTTGAAGATTCAAATCTTATACCCCAATTTATTATACTAAAAAAAAATATACAATTTCTAGATTTGAATGGGTAAAGTATTGAATTTTGGTATGTAATAATTTAATTACTGTAATTTTATGTGAAATTAGGTAGCTGTCACCTCAAATTCGTGTCACATATATTTTCACAGTAGATAACAAATAATTATAAATTTTAAACTATAACGATTAATTTATTATATATTAAAGTTCAACATTGAATCAATACAAATTTTAAAATATATAAATAAATCATTATAAAGTTCAAAATTAAACTAATCTTACATCTTTATCGTGAGTATCATCTTTTGTTACTTACTTTTAATGACATGTTCTTATTTTGGTATTGGTTGTTGTTTGTTTGGGCCTTTTCATACCAGTATTTTTGTAGTTCAATTAATATGAGATATTGAAGCATCAAACCGAAAGACAAGACATTTGGATATGTGGTTTTTCTTGTAATTAACATCGTTAGTATATGCCATCATATTAATACACATTTTTTATTTTTTTCTTGAGCTCGCTATCCTTTTTAAATTACTTTTTTCTTAAATGGCCTATATCACTCCAATTTATCATTTGTTTGTTGCCACATCACACTTAAAATTAGTATGGTCGAAATATTACATATATTACATCAACTTTAAAGCTAAGTTAATTATAGGCTAACTTATTGAAAATAAAATTTAAAGTCTAAACGATGTAATTAAATTTTTTAATTATAAATTGTCTATAACCTTTCAAAATTTCATATATATTTAATTTGTATATTTTAAAAAGTTTATAACTCTGTTAACTTTTATTATTGCTATTTTATTTCATATTTTAAAATTTTATTTGGATCGCTCAACTTTTAGTTTTGTATCTAACAGGTCTAGGTAGTTAACTTCCACGATTTAATGTGTATGTTACAAAACATTTGAGCTTACTCAAAATGAGTTACTATATAATTCTTAAATAATACAATCAACATATTAGGTGAATGCTAATCTAACAAAGTTTAGGGTAAAGACTTATTATAAAAAAAGAAAAACAAATTCAAACAACTTAATTAAAAACATTTTAAATATAGGAACCATATAGATACAACAAAGTCTAACAGTTTAATGTTTTTTTAAGTACAATGACTAAATAGACCTAATTAAAAATTAAAAACTAAACTTGTAATTTATTTAAAATATTTAAAGTTACAAAACAAAATAAAAATATCAAAATTATTCCAACTAAATATGTAATTCAAACAAAACATATCAATTATGTCAAACAATAATCATTTTCTAAGTTTGTGTCTTGACAAGTTTTTAAACTTAAAGAGTGGGTAGGTTCGTAAACTTTCAAACATTAAACTTAAAGAGTGAGTAGGTTCGTAAACTTTCAAACATTAAAAAGTGTCTAACAAATCTCTACACTTTCAATTAAGTGTAACGATTTTTTAACTTATTTAACATTTTTTTTAAATCCATGAACCTACAAGACACATAACTAAAAATAAAAAATTTTGTTAGATACAAAATTCCATTTTATAATTAATGGATTTGTTAGTTAAAAGAATGATAATAGGTGAGAAATTTATTTGTGGGAAGACCTATCAACAATAAAATTGACAGATTAAAAATCTAGGGTCTAAGAATTTAGGGATTATTATTATTTTATTTTATTTGAGTATAACTTAAAAGTTTAGAGATTAAGCCAACATTGGTCGCACATTTCTCTACCAAGAGGTCATCAGTCGAATCCTCGACAGCTCATCAGTCGAATCCTCAAGTACTAAAAAAGTTCAGGAAATTTAATCCTAAAACTATATTGAAAATATTGTATAAGCCTTTAAGCACAAACACGTGCAAGCATCATCATCCCCGATAAATATTTGTTCGTCAAACTGTACAATCAGTAAATGCTCTGATAGTTGTAATGTTAACAACGACTTGCTAACGAGCGATGAGCCGTTTGATGATCAGATCCGACTCCGAGAGAATTGATAAAGGCGCCACACGTTCGCGGCTTTATTTTTCCATTTTCCAGGATGAACAAGCCAGCCAGTGGCATCCAAAATCGGCTAAAGACGGGGGACACGGAGAGCCATTGGAATCAATTCACCAACTATTCTTCAATTCACGTCGAAAAGACTGGCACAGTCGTCGGCAAATTGCTTTGACTCTTTCACTCTGAAATTCATCGTCTTCTTCCATTTTCCGCACACTGTGGAAACTTCTCGGCGGTGATTGGCTTCGCAATCGAGCTCTGCCAATCGTCTATCCACTGCGGTTTTTGCGTGTCGAGAGCGGCTTTGCTGTGATCTAACATGGCTGAAAACAGGTGCTGCATTCCTGCGAATCCGATAGGTCAGTAGTTGAGCCTTATTAGTACTCTCCGTGAATGTTGCCGCCTGATTTGTTTCGTTCTTTTCGAAATTTTCCGTTAGTGTTTTGTGAGCTGGACTTGTTGCTTTCCAGTGATTTGTTCTCTGAAAGTCTGTCTGGAAACTTCTTACGAGCATAATTGGAAATTTTTTTAGTGCTCTGAGCTCCGGTTATTGTAGTTTCTAGCTGTTTTGTCCACTATGCTGTGCTTAAAGAGGTTCTGAATGTGCAAAAGTCGCCCATCTTCGTATATACTAGGTCATGGTACTAGTCGGTGAAAATGAGTTACAGACGAATGACGAATGAACTTCTTTAAATTAGGCACATCATTATCTTCTTACATTGCCATACTGTAATTCATATTCCACTAGACTTTAATTTTTCTTTTAGTCTATTATTCCTATATTTGTATATATTTTTATGCATGGGAATAAGAAATTGCCGGAAGTTATTGTTCATTTACCCTCTCATATTGTTATACATGCTGACATCTTTTTCATGATGAAATACAGGCATCGAACAAATCCTTTTAGAAGCACAACATCGATGGCTACGCCCGGCTGAAATATGTGAAATTCTAAACAACTACGAAAAATTTTCTATTGCTTCAGAGCCTGCTAATATGCCTCCAAGTACGTTTTCTCCTAATTGATATTTTAATCTGTTGTTAATTACGTATGATTGTTGAACATTTCTAGCATTATTGTTGCATTCCTACAAAATGTGAAGAACGACTTCAAAGCTTCCCGTGGGCCCAACGTAATCCTATAGAAAGGTCATGATTTGAAAACATGTCGTGGGTATTACTTTGTTTCTATCAAATACCTGTAATGAGGAATGCGGCTTGCCGTGATTGAATTTCTGAAAGAATCGTTTTATGCATTTAGGCGATAAAACTCTTCAGTGTAATTATCATGCTCCAAAACTGTCGCATGCATTCTTAATATGGTTTGTAATGTATTTTTACATTGTTTGCCCGTAGACGAGCTTAGCATCTTGGGCAATGAACGCATGGGATTTTACTTTGTCACCTGTACCATGAAGTTGATCCTACTATATCAATGCACCTTCTTTTAATTTTTACACTACTGAGTTGATCATCCTTTCCCCTGAATCTCCATGTATTCAGAAAAAAAATCTTAACATTCCTCATCCAATAAGAAATTCCTCTATATTCAGTCTAGCATCGGATTCCAATCCACCTTCAATGTGTAGTCTCCACGTATTGGTTGGGGGCATCTTTCTTGCCTAATATCCAAAACTTCTCTACTGCTTTAGGACTCTCTCGAATCATATTGTTGATACACTAGCAGAATATCACAGAATTGCCTCATTCATTGCACTAATGGAGGTTGACCCCTTTTCTGATGCCTCATTCCTCTAGGTTGAAAGGCTTTCCAGTCAAATTCTACACCCTGTCTAGGCTCTCATTATTTCATTCCCCAGAGTGATGCATCAACGTTTTTAATATTTGCTGCATCAGTGGGCATATGGTTCTCTTTGACCAGCGAGTGCTTATCTACGCCAGTCTTTCTATAGGTTCTCTACTGGACCAGACAACAGTTGATTGATTACTGAGGCTTGAAACCTATTTCTGTGGTGTATGCATCATGTTGAATGTTTCTGTCCCTGTAGGTCATTGAGCTCTAATACCAATTTGGTAGATTTGACTGACAAACTTCCTGATATGAGAAGTAACAGGATATGCTACTACAATTATGTATCGTAGCTAGCTAACTAACTAATCTTAGGTAGGGGAAATTACAGGAAATATATCAAGAATAATTTTGTAAAATTTAGATTATTCTCTGATAGTGTGATAAAAATTGATTTTTTCTTTTAATTCACAAGGACATATGATCCTAGACTACATAAGGATACGCTTGACCATACATGGTTATAATGGGCAACAAACAAGAAGGGGCCTACTTACATAAAGTAAGTAGGGAATTATTGCCATAAAAATGATGAATGAAGGTAAAGTTTAACAGACAAAGAAAGGAAATAATATCCTCCCAAACTGCGGAGATTCCATGACAATATCATTCTTCCTGGGCTCTGATATACGTTATCAAACGAAAATTGCTATTCCAAGATTTCTAAGATGTTAGATACTCAAGCATTGTATTCTCATGGGTGTCCTAGGCTGCAACTAAACAATGCACATTGACAGGATATGTTCTTTAAAACGGTAGTTGTTACCCCAATTAAATTTATACTTCATTTTGCTATAAGGCTGAAGTTAAATGCATCTTGGCTTGATTTCTATATAAATGACAGGTGGTTCACTTTTTCTTTATGATCGAAAGGTGTTAAGATACTTCCGCAAGGATGGACATAATTGGAGGAAGAAGAAAGATGGAAAGGCAGTAAAGGAAGCTCACGAGAGGCTCAAGGTAATTAGCTGCAAAGATGCATTTGATATGTCTTTCCCTTTTAGCTCATTGTTGAGGCAATTTTGAAAACTTGGAAAATGCTTCAAATGTAACTTTTTTGTATTGGCAATGTGATCTGGGTTTATCCCGTACTATTTTAATGGTCGTAGCAATCATTGCTTCTTAATAGAAAACAATTAAATTCTTTGCTTTAGGCTGGAAGTGTGTATGCGCTGCATTGCTACTATGCCCACGGGGAAGAAAATGAAAACTTTCAGAGGCGCACTTATTGGTTGCTGGAAGAGTGAGTCAATAATAATAGCATGCATGTTATGCACTTAAGCTCTCTTTTGAATGAGCTTGCTATTGTCAACACATAGCTTGATCACTAGTAGGTTTGTTTTAATGGCTTTATATTGGTTTGCTTACCTTGTCAATGACTTCTGCAGGGATTTATCACACATTGTTCTTGTTCACTATCGGGAAGTGCAGGTTTGTTTATTAATTTTTTAAATATTTTGTTCAGTTATCATTCGGGGTAAAATGTCAAGGTAGATTTGGTAGATTGAGAATTTTGATGATATTGTCCAAACATTGACCATAAACACACATGTATTTTTAGAAAAATTTCATTGCATTTGTTGAGTGCCAACAAGTATTGATGAATGAATGATTCATGTACAAACATTTTTGAGGACCAAGGAGTGTAAGAACTTATTTTTTTGCGTTGTTCTATCTTTACCTGCATTTGGCTAACTCTTCTTGATTTTCAGAATTGATCTTGCACATTATCCTTTTTTTCCCCTGAATTGATTTGGCTAACTCTTCTTGATTTTTGGAATTGATCTTGCAAATCTGGGTACAAGTAGTTTCAGTGCTTTCGAGGCGCACCCGGGCGCTCGCCTCAAGCGAGAGGCGAGGCATTTTCGCCCCTCCCCTGCACGACCCAAACCCTATCTCTGCCTCCCCTCCCTCCCGACATTCACCTTCACGGGCTTCAAGCCTTCACCACCATCAATCTCTGCTGTTGCTTGTCTTTATTTGGAACTAAACTTATAGAATTTGGTTGTTTTATGTATCTTGTTGACATTTACTATTTTGGTATTAATTTTTTTAAGGTAATTTATGCACTATATATATAATTTTTACTTATTTATTAAGGTGCGTCTCGCTTCAATCGGGCGTCGCCTTTGTATCACCTCTCGCCTCAAGGCATCAAAGGGCTTGTCGCCTTGCGGTGCGTCTTGCTCCTCGAAAACACCGGGTAGTTTTTGTGGTTCTTGGGTGTGTTGGCTATTTTGTACAATGCACAGAGAGAAAAGTAGAAGGGATTAGAAGATTTACATAATTGGAAATATGAGCTTAGGGCACTGAGGCTCGATGAGTGAGTTCTATTAAATGGAAAAGAAATGATAACAACCTGTATACATGTCACAAAGCTTGGAGGAAAAAGCAATAGCAACCAATATGCTATTAATGGAATGTGAGGATCAATCTAAATACACGAGTGAAATTCATACACAAAATAAGTCAGGTGCAAAATCAATTTTGAGAAATTATTTAATATCCCCATAAGCTAACTGGCCTATTAAGATGGTGAGCTTGTCTCAATTAAGGAACCTTTAAGTTCGAAGTCTACAAGTTGATCTTTAGAGGGGACATCCTTTAATGAGCTTCTTATTGACAAGCTGCTGGGGAATAACATGATGTTCGATCTCAATATGCTTGATTCTTTGATGCATAACTGGATTTGTAGCTATTCAAGTTACATTGTCACACAGCAGAGTCGGAGCAGAAGATGAAGAAAAACTAAGTTCACGACTGACTGATTCATCCCAGATTTAGCTCTGCATTTGTCAATCCTTGGTATTTGGATTCAGCGTTAGAACTTGAGACTACCTTTTGATTAGGAGAGGGCCAAGTAGTTAAATTGTGGGCAGTAAAGATATAATACGTGCTTGCACTGCTTCTTTCATTAGGGTAACTAGCCCAATCAATATAAATAAAGCGTGTAGATATCATGACCAATAGATATCAGTGGGGGTAGAGGGAGGGAACGACAAAAGTAAAACAATTACAAAAAATGCTTTTTTTTTTTTTGGCTTGAAGTTGTTAAGGATAAAACATAAAGGATAATTACGAATGAAATTTTAAGAGAACATCAAAAGGAGACATAGAAGTAAATCACACTAAAAACCTCATCCTAAGACTCCTCTAAACCCTTGAAAATTCTCACATTTCTCTTCCAAATGTTCCAATTAGTAGTGAAGAGAACCGACTGCCCCAGAATCTGACCACTTTTATGGAAGTTTGACAACCACCTCCTCAGTCCTCTATCATGTTCATATTTTTCTTCTATGAATTTGTATAGGTGAGAGGTAGTCTATTGTGGTCATAGGTTCAAATGGATGACTCCTTGCCCACCTTACACTTTCTTTACCCCATCCGGTGGGTTTTGTTTAATTGAAAAAAAATTATTTTCCTTCTCAAGTGTTGTCATTTCTTTTCAGTGCTTATCTTGACCATGAGTTTGCTGAAATGTCATCAGAGCAGTAGAGCAAATCTCAATCGTAATAGGGGGACTCATGAAGCTGTTCTTGTTTCTCGAGAATTTGAAGAAACTACGAGCCATTCAGAAATGGACGCTTCTAACTCCTCTAGTTTTCATCCGTCTAATTATCAAATACCTTCACAAACTACTGAAATTAGCCTAAACAGTGCGCAGGTATCAGAATATGAAGATGTTGAATCAGGTGCTTGTATTGTATATGAACTCCAAATCAACCACAGCTCGGAATTGAAATCATTTCCTGGGTATTTTTGTCATTTCTTTAACAATGTTCTTCTGATTGACATTCTATCTTTTGCAGAATATAGTAGCCAAGCAAGTACTGTTTTCCATTCTTTTCTTGGATTACAAAGGCCTAGAATGGAGAGGTTTGGTGCTGATCTCTGTGATCCGAACTACCCTATTTCATTATCAGGTAGACTTCTCATTACTTCTCCTTAATCCTTTTTATTTGAAAAAATCTTTGTTATAATTGTGCTAGTTTTCATCCAACATAGGCTAAGGCTAGGAATGGCTAGTTAATACCCTGATATGTTGTCAGATAATTATCAAGAAAACTTTTCAGTCTTTAGTGGGAATGGCTTTCCAACAACATCAGATAGAAGTAAAGACAACAACAGTGCTGGATTAAACTGCGTTCCCCAGAAGAACCTTAACTTCTCTTCTGAGAATGTCTTGGAAAGTGGTTCTACTGGAATATATTCATCCAATCTGGAGCCATCATTGTCTGCATCTCAACCTGAAATTTCAGGCGATGTCCCAAAACAAGGTGATGAGGTTTTGCGGATGCTCTTCACTGAGAAATGTAAAAGGAAAGAGTTTAATAATCACCTACATTCCCAGGAGGATTGTCAGGTTAGTTCTCTCCAATTTATTTAGTAATGAATTTTCAAAGTTTTAGATGGAATAATGCTTCCAAAGTGTAAGTAGTTTGTAGTATTAGCATTTGTGATTTCTTTCCCATTGAACCATTTTTTTTAAACTTTAAAAAAATGAAAAAAAGACTCTTTTTAATCATCCGCCAGGATACCTTCTGCCTAGGCATGTATTTGAAGCATCTGAGTGTTTGTAAATATGTAAATACTATTCGCATGCAAATTACACTGAAGAATGAAGACAAACAAACGGGTACCTCGTTGGAAAATCTACAACATGGTTGACTAAATATGGTTGAAGATCATTTAATAACTTTGTGGACACCTCGAGTTGGTGGAAGCGTTTGGAAGAGGAAGAGTCAAAACTCAAAATATTAAAAGTATTAAAAGGAACTTTTATGGCCCTCAGGACCCCTTCTTCTAAAATGCAATCCTCTACAGCAAATCAGATTTGGAACTTTTGAGTTCCTAAAAAGGTGACAGTGTTTATATGGTCCTTATTCTATAGAGGGATTAATATGGTGGACAGACTTCAGAAAAAGCTCCCTCATTGGTCCCTTTCTCCCTCGGTGTGCAGCCTGTGTTTACAAAGTGCAGAATCAGTGGATCATCTTTTTCTACACTGCTCGGTTACTGGTAAGGTATGGAATTATATAGCCTCTAGTGTGGACCTTAGCCTATGTCTTCCGAGAAAGATAGATGATTTTATTTCGGAGAGCTTTGGAGGAGGTGCTCTCAAAGGGAAAGCCTTTGTTCTTTGGAATTGTGCCGCTAGAGTTTTGGTCTGGCTTCTTTGGAAAGAGAGGAATGGTAGAATCTTCGAAGATAAAAGTACTCCGGTGGATTCTTTTTGTGTAAACATTCATCATATGGCTTCTTGGTGGGCTACAATCCACAAGAAGGTTTTTTGTAATTATAGCCTTCGAATGATTGCTCAAGATTGGAGAGTGGTGATTGTATAGTTTGTTGGAGAGAGTTTCCTCAGCGCTCTACCTTTTTGCTGTTTTTTGTGGTGGCTATGAATGAAAGAATGGTTTCTGTTTCTTATAAAAAAAAGGTATTAAAAGGAATTTTGGGTGACAGAACAGAGGAAGGTGTAACACTGAAGAATGGAAGACAGACAAAAAGGGTACCTCGTTGGAAAATCTACAACATGGTTGACTAGAATATGGGTGAAGATCATTTAATAACTTTGTGGACACCTCGAGTTGGTGGAAGCGTTTGGAAGAGGAAGAGTCAAAACACTAAGTATGAAAAGGAAGTTTGAATGACAGAACAGAGGAAGGTGTAATGTGCAGAGTAAAAGAAGTTAATAAGACAGAAGGAATTTTGACAGTTACGATGAAGATGTGGCAAAATCAGAGGTAACAGCTTTTAAGAACGAAACGTGGTTGTCAAAAGGAGGAGGCTTATAAGTTTCTTAAGTAAATTAAAGATTACAGGACAAGGTTCTTTCAGGAAAGAAATCCAATTTTGAACGCATAGAAAGATCATTACAACTCCAATACTGCGATACATTCATTAACAGCTCACTTAAGCATAATTCAATTGATCAAGGCATTATCAATCGTAGGATTGATTCCCCAACCTTATTTTATTAGAATTGTAATACTAAATAAAAAGGATAGTAGCATAACCATTAGGAAGGAAATGGCCTTAGTTTTTGAAAAAGAAGAAAGATGGGGATGAAGAAAATAAGATTTTTTTAGTATATATGGAGAGTTAAAGTGCTTCTTTCAACAAAATGAAAAGGCGGAAAGTGAGGCAACATTAACTACAGGTGGTAGAGGTAAACAGTTCTGTTTTAAATGTTGTTAGTGGTGACATAGCAGCATTCTCATTACAGATGGAAGTTCTAAGGGAGGACATGAGAATTTTTGGGAAGAGGATCACAAAACAGCTATTATGGCAGACAAGGAAAACATTAGTGTCTATTAATGATGATATGGAAGTAATTCCATTACAGAGGGTGATCCCGAAGGAGGTGAAAAAATACATCTAGGAGCAGGTGAAGCAATCTCTTTGGAGTGCTCTCATCTCATCTCATGGAGTCTCAAGGAATGAGGGGTGTATTTGACACCAATTCCAAACGGGAGGAAAAAGGAAAAAAAGCAATTAAGGGAAGAGAATTCCGAAGAGTGGTAGAGAATTGTAAATCCGATCTCTCAAAGAAATGAAGTTTTCTTTTGAAAGAAATCATGGAATACTTCCATAATGTCTAATTAGAGAACAATCTAAACTCTTTTAAGGAATTTTGTGAAATCATCTAGCCTATGCGCCTATCTACCCAGGGCCTTCTCAGCTGCAAGTACTTCAAATTCAATATTAGTTTCCATTCAATGATAATAGGAATTAATCTGGTACCTTCTTTCGTTCTATATAATTTCAAAAAGATATTGATCTGGAATTCCGGGTTACATTGAAGAATATTCAACTAAATTGGACCATTTTCAGGGACCAACTGAAAACTAAACTTTTTCCTTTGCTGCCAAGAATCTTTGAAAAAGCATTGTGTTACTCATCACCTTCTTTGAGCCATTGGATTTTACTTATAGGTAACGTTTGTGTTTCCCCATTTAAGCAAATTTCCATAAGCTCTTTTTTCAAACTTATTCCTTCCTCTCTCATGAGAAGATAATGACCATCTATCTTCCTCCAAACAATCAAATGCCTAGTTTTGCTAATAATCTCGTCCTTCACCATCTTAAGGTTCCCTGCATTGGATTTGGTCTACCCTTTCTGCTTTACCTTCAAGTTTCATTGCCTTTTAAGCAGTTTAAATCCAAGCCAACCATTTATGGAGTCTTCCACCGACTATTCTTCAACTTGTTTAAAAAATCTAGGATGTTTTAACCACCTATTTTCAAAATGAAACAACATTGGAACCCACTTCAAATTTATGGTTTCTAATAAAATAGGGGCATGATCAGAAGAAACCAAGCTCGTGCATTCTTAATAACATTCAACCAAAGATACGAGGGAAAAAAATTGACTTGGTATTTTTTTACCATGTGACCATGTGAAGCTTCCGTTGTTCAAAGAATTTTCAATCGTATCATCAATCAAACTGCAGAATCTTTTCATGCTTTTGGTTTCAGTCTTTCAGAACAATTTGATAAAAATTGATAAACCCTACTGATGTTTACTTGTTTAGTTCTCTCACTTTGGGTTGCGGTTCAATTTTTTAAAAAATATTCCATATCCCATATATTCTTATATGAACTAAATGGGACCTTAGATATTTAGTTTATTTTTCTAATAATTTTGCTTTCATTTGTTGGCATTTCTTTTATGTCACTTAAAATTATGGTTCACAGTACAAGCAGCCTCAACGCGGTGTCACTTCTTGAAAGAAAATTCCTAAGAATGCTAATAGGATTGTTTATGATTATCTTAACCCTTTATATTCTCTGACTTGTACTGAGGACTCAATTCTTTTCCCATCTGACAGACATCTCAAAGGAATTCCTCACCTTTAGTAAGGTGGCCCATAGATCAACAAACCTTGCAAGCAGATTTGGTTTGTAATGTTGCTTCCAAGTTTCACCAACTCGATCATGTCAATGTAGTGAATTCTATGCAGTCAAGCCAAATGAATACAGGGCCACAAAATGATCAGTCAATGCAAGAACACCTCCAACAAATGCTTCCAAATACAAAGCATGAATATTACCTGAATTCAATCTCTGATGGAAAGGTGATATTGGAGGGGAAAGCCAACTTTCCAAAAAAACAGCCTTTATTGGATGCTATTACTTCTGAAGGTCTGAAGAAGAGTGATAGTTTCAATCAATGGATGAATAGAGAACTAGGAGATGTGAACGAGGCAAGCATGCAGTCCAATTCTGGAGCATACTGGAATAGCGTTGAAAATGAGGTTGGTCATTCCAGCATCTCTTCTCAAGTGCATCCAGATGCATACATGTTCAGTCCATCCCTCTCCCATGAACAGCTCTTTAGCATTATTGATTTTTCACCAAGCTGGGCATATGAAGGTTCTGAAATCAAGGTACTACAGAGCTATTTTTCAAATCTTTCCTGATATTTTCTTGTAAATCAAGTTGAATCTCAAGTCCATATTTTATCCGCCAGTTATTTATAGGATTTCTTTTTTCTTTCTCCTAATCATGTGATATGGGCGATTTTATAGGTTTTGTTATCAGGGAGATTCTTGACGAGTCATCAAGAAGTGGAAAATTCTAAATGGTCTTGCATGTTTGGCGAGGTGGAAGTACCGGCTGAAATTATAGCAAATGGTGTCTTGCGATGTTTTACTCCCATACACAAGGCTGGGAGAGTTCCATTTTATGTTACATGTTCCAATAGATTAGCTTGTAGTGAAGTGCGAGAATTCGAATACCGAGTTAAGTGCATTCAAAATTTTGTTGTGATGGATGACCATAGTAGCAATACATTTGAAGCACTTGCTTTGCGTTTTGTGAAACTGTTATGTCTGAGCTGTCCGAGCACTTTGATTGCTGATCCCAATAGCTCTGATGGCAGTTCCAACTCCAATAAAATCAGTGAATTGCTAAAAGAAGACAAAAGTGAATGGGGTCAGTTGATAAATCCTAAATGGGATGATAATTTTTCCTTCGAAAGTGCAAAAGAGTTGCTGCTTCAGAATCTACTTAAAGAGAAGTTACACGTATGGCTATTGCAGAAAGTAAGGGAAGGTGGGAAAGGCCCTAGCGTACTAGATGAGCATGGTCAAGGTGTGCTACATTTTGCTGCTGCACTTAACTATGATTGGGCTCTTCTACCATCAATAGTTGCTGGTATAAATGTCAATTTTCGTGATGCAAATGGATGGACAGCACTACATTGGGCTGCATTCTTTGGCAGGTGAGTACCTTAAATTAGTTTTGCCGCTTCTACTTGTCTTTTATAGCTTTACTCCTAAGGAAATTCTGAAAGTCCTTTCGCTTGCTGACATAGTACCATTTGGAATATTCTATTGAAATAAGGAAATAACTGATCAAAGGAAAGTTGGAAGAATTTGATGCCTTGGTTAGGACGCATTGTTATGGAGTTGATAGGTTTTGAATTTTAAACTGTAGTTCACATATTCAAAACATCTGATACAGGAAAGTTCCATCAAGCTGAAAGTATAATAGTAAATAGATTGTATGGATTGAGCTTTCATCAAGTATCAACTCTTTCTTTTTCCTTTGTGTGTGTGTGAACCAGAGAGCGTGTAGTTGCTGCCCTCATCTCTATGGGTGCAGCTCCTGGATTACTAACCGATCCAAGCCCTAAGCATCCATCTGGCAGAACTCCTGCCGATCTAGCATCCTTAAATGGGCACAAAGGCATTGCTGGTTATCTTGCAGAGTCAGACCTCAGCGCCCGCCTGGAATCTCTGGCTTTTGATAGTCAAGAAAGTAAGTCTGCAGAAACCTGTGGAGCAAGAGCAGTACAAACAGCTACTGAGCGTGTCGCCACTCCGCATGACGGTAATGATATACATACATTGTCCCTGAAGGATTCATTAGCTGCAGTGTCTAATGCTACCCAAGCTGCTGCTCGTATTCATGAGGTTATGAGGGTGCAGTCCTTCCAAAGAAAACAGTTAGAGTTGAAATACAGAGACGATAGACTCGACATGTTGCACGATCAGGCTCTTTCAGTTCTAGCAGTTAAGAGAGGTATTCCAGGACCACATGATAAGCATGCTGCTGCCATTCGCATACAAAACAAATTCCGTAGTTGGAAAAACAGAAAAGATTTTCTGATAATCCGCCAGAGAATTGTTAAAATCCAGGTATGTTAGAACTATTTCTCTTGGTCATATCGTAGATAGTTATTACTTTTCATTCACTATTTCTGTCTCTGAAACGAATCATTGTCATCAAAGTAAGTTGTTCTGTTAATAACCGTCATCGTTTCGTCGAAAGGCACATGTAAGAGGCCACCAGGTTCGGAAGAACTATCGTACAATCGTGTGGTCAGTGGGAATTCTGGAGAAGCTTATTTTGCGTTGGAGAAGGAAAGGAAGTGGTTTGCGAGGATTTAAACCAGAAGCACCAGCTGAGTCCAGCAAGAAAATTACATTGGTGGCAGAGGATGATGATGACTTTTTAAAACAAGGGAGAAAGCAAACGGAGGAAAGATTGCAAAAGGCTCTTGCTAGAGTCAAGTCTATGGTGCAATATCCAGAGGCAAGGGATCAATACCGCAGGCTATTAAATGTCGTCTCGGAGATGCAAGAAATAAAGGTAATGTCAAAACTTGTGTTGCCATTGCTAATTTTTAACTATAGGTGTTGTTTTTCTCATTTTGATAAAAAAAAAAACTAAGGTTTAAATCTTATTTCAGTGTTTCGATTTCATGCTTTTCTAATTTTGGTCTCCAAATGCTTCAAATATTTTGATTGTGCTGTTTGTCCTAGAACTCAAGTATATAACTATTTTAGTCTCCTTAATTTTTTTAATTTTTTAATGAAGTATTTTACTGATATTTGACATGCGTGGTTTATTCATCATCGGTAAACAATTGTTTGAAGCCACGTGTAGTGACTTAGGTATTGAGTTTCCAAATAAAATGCAGTTTTTGTTGAATGGTGAATGAAAAACTAACAGCAATAGCTGAAGTGGTTCTTTATGCAAAGCTTGAGGCTTAAAAAAAACACTATTAAGGATTGAATTACTAACACGACATTTTAATAGGACTCAAAACTTGATTTATAAGCTAAAGTTACAAGCCAAAATAGGATTAAACGTGATTTATGTTAAATAGGTTAAGATTAGTTTTCAAGTCCTCTACTAAACTAATGAAAAGTATTTTTAGCTAATTAAAAATAGTTTTAAATTTTCTTGTAATGATTCACAACATAACGAGAGGTGTTTTTTCTCCATTCAGGTTGTAAAAAATGGTGCTTTAGACAACGTGGATGAAACAGCTGATTTTGATGATCTCATCGACATTGAAACCCTTTTGGGTGAAGATAATTTCATGCCTACAGCAATCTAAGATCTTATTATAGTGTGTAATAAATAAGATGACATCTCTCTTTCCCTCGAATACTATCCTCTCTGATCTTAGAAAATGTTCGTATTTGTATGATTAAGGACTCAAATTCAATTTAGAGGCTGGATGTCAAAAAAAAAAAAAAAAGAAGTCCTTATACTGGATCTTAGAAAATGTTCGTATTTGTATGATTAAGGACTCATTCAATTTAGAGGCTGGATGTCATACGACTGTTATACCCTCCCCTTTTTATTTCGAGATAGTAAATAATAGGGATGAAAAGAAAAAAGGTTGTATATGTGTCTTTATCTTGGGAGGGGCAATGAAATCGTTCCTTTCAAGTCATGCACAGGCTTAATTTCTATAACAAGCAAAAGTCAAATAAGAGATTTAAGCAAGCTTTGCAAAGCATTCTTTTCTCAAATTAGCAGGCCTTTTTAGCTTTTACCAAGGATTCTATATATAAACAATAAGAATTGAGGAACGGTTGATTCAATCCAAGCAAAAGCAATTTTACCAAGAATCTATACAAGGGGTAATATCCCTATAAAAGTGCTACAATTTCTTGGCCACGAAACAAACTTCTCCCCGAGTAAATTACGAGATCTACCTTGGCAATGACATCCATAACTATTCACAAGAAATTCAATGCATTGTTGTTGGTTGATTAGTCCACAGCATAGAACCAGAGCCAGAATCGGAATCAGAATAGACACTCCTCTAAAGCAGCAGTCATAAACATGATACATTGCTCTCTTTTCACTTATTTAAAGGGGAAAAGAAAAGCTGCCGCCATACACTATATATGCCAAACTGGCAACCGACCATGTATACATTTTTCAGTCCATAACATCAATAATATTTCACAGCTCTTTCCCATTGGTTATAAAAGGCAAAAAGGGGGGAAAAAAGAAGGAAAAAAGTAATAATAACATTAATAAACATGCGAAACCCAAAAAACAAGAGTCGAATCATAAATTACCCGACCGCTGAAATGGGAATTCTCCATATATCAGCTCTTGTTGCCGGTGCCAATGCTCTCGTAGAATAAGATGTACCCATGATCAGTATTACTAGAATATTCCTGCGCAGATCCAAAGAATGTCTGCACAACAGACTCATCAATCATTTCCACATTTTCGTCGTCAAAAAATAACCAGTGGTTATGGCTTTTCACAAGGCTAACATAGTGTCCGTGGTTGGGTCCACTTCCAACATGGACCACAACAGCAAACAAAGAGTACTCAGAATCTGCATCCTCCACTGTGTTGCTAAGCTTTAGCTCGAGAGGGAAAACGACTCTATATAACAGCTTTTTATATCGGCCAAGCTGCTCGATGTATTTAAACCGCTTCAGATGAATAACAAGGATATGAGGCGGTTTCTTAATCTTCATTCTCTTCTGTGCTTCTTGCAAACTGCACACCAAAATGAGGCCATCAATCAGCATTCCCTTGATTGGTTTTTGTTCCTAAATTTTGGTTGTGGGTGGGGACAAAGAAACTAACTACACTACTATTCACATTCAATGTAAAAATGTGGAGCCACGCACACAAATCACTGGTATGGGATTATGAAGTATCATCATATTCCACTCCTACTTAACATGAGACTATGCTTGCTGCTGAGAAGATGACGAAGACAAGACAATTAGAATAATAAGGCAGATTGGCTAGTACCAAAAAGGCAGCGCACTTGAAAACTGCCTCCATTAAATACTTGATGTACATGACGATTCCTACAGTAACCAAAAATTCAACTATGGAGGCAAAATAGAATCATGTATACCAATCTACCTGCAGCACTTGTCGCAGAAGAACTTGTCCTCAGCATTCAATGTCTCAGTGGAGCTGAAATTTTTTAAACAGCTAGTTATTGAACTGTTCTGTTCAATATCAAGGCTCAAATCAAGAAAAGTTTCATCCCTTGCTGTAACTGTCTCGCACCGCAAGCACCTTGTCTCGTTGGTTAGTAAACCCTGAAAGACAGATTGCATGTGACTCTGGCTGCAATTAAAAGTTTATCATACAAGAACAAAGTTACTTCTCATGGCTCAAATTCTAATTTGGCATGGTTTGGACGGAGAACCCTTAGGGATCTCCCTAGAAAATTGAGTTATATTGGACAGGGTTTGGTGTTGTATTCAAGATTCAGTCTTTAATCAGGTTTGTGGTTTGTTTCGAAGCATATTCATGTTGTCCACTTTCCAAAAGCCTCTTCTATCTTTTAGTAGTAAAGTCCTTATATTTTCTAGGTGTCCACTTTCCAAAGTTACTTCTCATGGCTCAAACACTAAATTTACTCAGAATAAAATGTCTTATATTTTCTAAGGTACATTCATTTATAGAAACATCCAGTGGTCTAGGTGGCTTGTAGGAAGGATTCTATTTCTCTGTCTTCGGAAGGCCAGAACAAAATTAATAATTCTCTTATATTTTCTAAGGAAGGAAAATCAGGCTGGGGGGCGCAAGTGGCAGCCATACTTTGTGGCCTATAGGTCTTTCACTAAAAACAAAAAACCCAACGAAAACATAAGCGAGTTAGTTTCATCTTAATAAAGAACTATCTTTAACATAGTTTTGATGTAATGGCAAGCGAGGGCATGCAACATGCAAATACAGGAAATAACATTCATCTTATTGATATTTCTTACCAAGATATACATATTCCATGCCCAGAGAAAAAAATACTGAGTTGGATACGGGGTATTGTAAATCGAAATGGTTAATTAAATCACCTGAAAATTTTTATGCACCCAAGTCACCAATGGCTCTTTTTGAGCACCATTTGCTTGACCAGTTTTAGGACCATTTGCAATTTTCTCAGTCGGTGACGAACTTTCCGCATCACTTTTAGTAGCATGTGCCTCTTTCTCCAGTATGTCAACAAGTTCGTTGAGCAAAAAGTTCAAAAACTCATGTGCATCCTACATCAGCAGTTTTCAAATAAGAGAAGATAGAGATAGGTGAAATTTGAACACGTTTATTTAATTAAATATAAAATTGATTAGATGAATATGTACAGAAGTTTTCACTTTTTAATACGAATTAGAAAGGAGAGGAAAATGAAGTGAAAGAAAAATATGAAAATGAGTCTATATTATTGTAAGAATCAACCATATTATTGTAAGAATCAAAGTGGTCATATTTAAAAACAAAATTAAAAACATACTTGGTGCATATAGCTACGGAAAATTTCATTCTGCTTTTTCAATCTCTGAACAAAGCGCTTTGGAGCAATGACACCAGTTTTTTTCTTTTGTGAACTTATCTGCAATCAGAAGTGAATAAAGGATTATTATTCAAAGGATTATTATTCTCCAACCTAACCATGGAAAGAGCTCTTCTTTAAGGTCATCAAGTGAACAATCAATTTTAGAACCAAATAGGATGAAAACGTGGAACTTCAATAAATGATTCACAAAAGATACACAAAAAATATACAGACCATTTTAATCATTTTTTAATTTAATATTACAGTCTCAACTCAACAGAATTATAAACAACGACGTAGCCAATGACCTGTAATGGAAGTAAATATACATACATATATATACACACACATACATACACATACGTACAGACTCACAGAATCACCTCAATTGGTATTATTCCCTACCAGTGGCAGTAAAGTAAAATAAACTGTATGACAAGCAAAATATACCTCTTAACATGGAAGCTCATACATTATTATTTAAATGGAAAAGCATGCTTTCATTAATCTATCTTAATGAAAGAATACAAATTGATCGTACAAAAAAAAAGTCCATTATAGAAGGAGTCTGAACAAAAAAACTGAAACTAGAGTTTATAAAAAGGCTCCAGTTCCTAGGAAGAATAGATAATGAAAGAAAACAATTGACCAGAACAAAAAAATAAAGTCGATTATAAGAGGAGCCTAAACAAAAACTGAAACTACAGTTCATAGAGAGGCTCCACTTGTAAGGAATAAGAGGAAAAAGAATAGTTGTAGAACTCTTAGACCCATACAGAGGTTTTTTTTATGAACCTGGCCAAAGACACTCAACATCTTTAAAAATTATTATATTCCTCTCAAGCAAAATAATCCACAAATGGACAAACAAAAAAAAAAAACAAGAGAAATATGAATCTTCTACTCTTTGCTTCGACTATATGCAACAGATATAATAAAATAAACACCATACTTGCTGTTTTTTAGTAAAATAGGAATATGGTTTTGAAATTGTAGTTCCATACAAATACTAACTATCATTAGTAGTATGAATAAAAAGTATTTGAGCGGTCAAGAAAAAGTTCATTTTAAAAAATATTATAGAAGTTCTTCAGAAGTAATCATCCGTATGCTCTAAGAGTCAATACAGCTTTAGATTTTTAAATCTCTATGAAATACTATTTGCAAACATAAAAAATAAAGCCACAACAGAGCAAAAACAACACAAATCCTGTCAGTCAAGAACAAGCAACGAATCAAGTAAAACACGCACCACCTTCCTCCCCCAAAAATTTACCTGGGTAAACAAATCTGCTAAGCATGTTAAAAGATTTTCTTCCACATCTCCAATACTCTTGTTATTTGAGTAATAATCTAACAATTGCTCACGAAAAGGAACACAAAAATACAGTGCCTGCATATAAAAGAGAATGGTGAGTAAGATACAAATGATGATTTCAAAGAGTTATTTGACAAATCAAAGAAAATATCAAGCCGGATATTAAGCACTTAAGCACATGCTCATATAACAAGTTCTAAACATCATACTTTTTAGACCATAAAAAAATAATATAATCTTTAAGAATCCAACATGCATCAAAAAGGGCAAAAATGATATAGATAATAAAAGAATCTAAAATCTCATTTGACATGGCAGGATGCTATGGAAACTCATAAAAGTCGTGACTCATGAACTTAAATACCACCTTCTGTTAAAGACTCCTAAATATCCCATTATTAGATCTAAAATTATGTTCTGAATAAATGAACCCCGTCTTCTATTAAAATTGTAAACTTTAAAATGCAGTCATTTTTATACTTTTAACTTTGTACACACGGACATTTGAATTCACACAGGTTAACAGCAGGATAACAAATCACCACAAGTACAAAATATCAAATAAAATAAAGTAAAAAAACAGCATCCATATTTTTCAACTACTAGTGTAGCTCATCCAGGATGATTATTTGTGTAATCCATGAATAATCACTTACAAGTTAAGCCAGGGGGACTGGGGATGTAGCCACTTAATATAAGGGGGGAAATACATCCCCAGAAAGGGGGAAAAAAAGGCAAACACAGAAACAATGCAACTTTGAATGGGACAAACATAACAGACCCATCAAATACATCAAAAAGGGAACGCAAAAAATTGCAGTTGGAAGAAGTATAAGACTATAAGTTGGGCTGTTGAAAGTTGAAACCGACAAGCACACACGTTTATGAGAAAATCAAAACATGAAACGATGAATCACTTCTCATAATTGAGTATATACAATTGTAAACACATTGACCAACACTTGCATGCTGCAAGCATATGCTTTTTTTTTTTTTTTATATACGAAGCCAAGAATTTCATAGATGGTATGAAATTACAACAAACAAAAAAAGGAGGAAAACCAAGCCCCAACCCAGGGTATGCTGCATGCGTATTTTTAAAGTGCATTTAGTAAAACAAACGTAAAAAACAAAATGAGATGAAGATGTACTCATATATATGTATGAACAATACAAAGTATTTAAAAAAGGAAAAAAAAAAAGAAAAAGACAATCAATGCATACTATAAAATTTCAGTATCTTTTCTATTTATCCCTCAAATACTACAACTATGCGAAGAGCATTAATCCCAAGACAATTGATGGGTAAAATTCACAATGAAAAGTTTGAATGATAGGGAAATCTTACCCACCTGACAATACTATTATAAGTCCAAACAATCTCTCGAAATAGAAACTACAAGTTAGAAACCCAATTACTTCTCGATGAGGAATGTCAACAAGATTATCATTCTTTAATAAAATGAATAATTATAGAACCCAAAGAAAGCATTTACAGCAATGGCTCGCAAATCCAATCCATGAAACTCATAATCCAGCCAAAAAAAGAATTCATAGACCGCCATTCTACCTTTAATAACCAAAAAGACACGCGATGGATGCATCGACAAACAAACAAAACCCTAGCAACAAAACCAACGAAGATCCTAGGAAGAGGGATAATTAAATTAAAGCAAGAATCATCATGCATCCCACAAACAAGGAGCAAACCTGCAAGACGCTGTTACAGTAGCAAGTATTGCCAAAATTTTCAAGGCCGAAGTAGCGCTCGCCTTCAGGGAACTGGTCGCCGAGAGCCTTCTCGAGCTTTGAGCCCGTAGCACCCATCCGTGCGTCGAAATGGAAGAATCAAACGCGACTAGATCTCAATCGGGAAATTGCTCCCCATATACAAATGAAAAGATGAAAATCTGTGGTTTGACAGGGTCGTGGGTTCCGTAGTTCAAATTGCTAGGGTTTTTGAGGGCAGGGGGTGAGTTCAGTTGCTTGTTGGTTTGTGCAATTTCTGGTCGCAGAGAGTGAAGGAGAAACGGAACGAGGGTTTCGATGAAGCAACGAGACGGAGGAAGGAGACCGAAAGAAAAGAGGAAGGTCTGGTATGGAATTAAACAATCAATGGAGAGAAACATTTACATGCCACGTGGATCGAACTAAACTCCAACAAATAAATTGAAATTGGCTTTTTTGGATTTGCCTTTTCGCTCTCCCTTTTAAATTTTTTTTTTCTTTTTGACATTTGGTATATATATTAAAATTTTAGTCTAATTTCTATCTGGTTTTTTGTTTTTTGTTTTTAAATTAATTTTTATATTATCTATTTTATGCCCAACTTTATCAACTAGTTTGGTCGAGAATTTAGATTTTTGTTTCTTTTTAGATTCACTCAATCAAATTTGAATTAGTGGATAGATGTTTGATATAATTGTTTTAATATGAAATATAACTCTAGGTTTTTATTAAATCTTTATTTTTAAATTTATATTTTTAAATCAACTTAAATTTAATTTGTTACACGCACAAAAATGCACCTCCACCAGATCAAGTAATGGACATCTCATGGCGTTATACAGGATCAAAGTGGTCCATCAAGAACCAATTCGCTAGAACCTAAAGATGAGTACTTAAGGTCGCTTCATAGTAGAGCTCCTACCTGGGAGACATCAACTTATATCTCTATACAAATCAACAATCTAATGCATTCTGGTATTAAGGGCGTTGTATGGACACCAACAAAATGGCAAACCGGATCAATTCCATAATTCTATATATATTGGGGATCCATTTGTACTCATATATACGAACTTATCTCAAATCGATTTAATTCGATCTAAACTCTAATTTAAGCATCAGATCATAAGCATGACATGTGTTAGATTTCTTTTTATACCAAACTCTCTACCTCACTTTGGCTCCAACCTTCCGTAGCCTACTTGCTAAAAATCTACCTGAACACAATTTATAGTTACAATTCGAGTACTTAGATCAGATTCGAATTCCCATATACTTTTTTGAAATTGTATCTCAAGTTGCTGCACTTTTAATAAAAATTGGATAGATAATCATTTGATATATATTTTTTTTTAAATTTGTCAATAATTTTATATTGGTGGAAGATAATTACAAATATATCATTGATTTACAAACATTTACAATTATACATTGTTCCATTATCTTGAATTAGCTTGAATGTATTATATTTTTGAAATTCGCCATTGGATTTATTTTAGATTACTTTATTATCTGTTGACCTAAAAAAATCTCGTCATTTTTGTATTTCAACTCTATTATATTTATTAATATATTTATTTAATAGGCCTATTTTAGCCATAGACTTTTGGTCCTTAAATGTTAGAAGCGACAATGGATAAAAGCCATAAATTAGGATCAAATTTTATTACGTGTTTAATATTAATAGATAGGTTAGCTTCATGTAATTTATTTTTAGTGATAGGTTAGCTTCATGTAATTTGTTTTTAGTAAAACATGCACGGGTGAGAGATTAGAGGTTTAAATTCATTCCTCTACATTTATAATAAGTTCCTGAACTTTAAATTTTACATCTAATAGGTCCCTATATTAAGTTTATTAATTTGACATTTATAGATCGAGTGACACACAAATATTAAAGTAATGTCAATACGAACATAATTCATGTAAGGTTGGAACAAAACAAGATTATTTATCAAATTTCACCAAAATTTTTATCAAGGGATATGATGTGGGGATTGGGGAGCAGGGGTATTTCCGTAAATGGGGACAATTGGAGAGGGCAAAAAAAGATGGAAAAATAATAAAAGAAAAGGCGAGAGCTTATCTTCATCTTCAATCGTAGCTGGGCTTCTTCTTCGAACTGGAGCGGTGTGACTGAGCGAAACCACATACAGAGCCTGAAGATGATAAACCTCTCTATTGCTTCGCCTTCTACCGTTTCCCTCCCTTCTACAGTTCTTAGCTCAACCTCCAAATCCTCCTTCATTGGCCTTCAGATCCGTTCCCCATTTTCGGTTCGCGTTGCTGCTAAAACGACATGTGCCGGAAGCCGCAATTCGTCTGTGGTAATGATGGCGAAGAGAGAGGAGGAATTGAAGGAAATCAGAGCCAAAACTACTGAGGAAATAAACGAGGAGGTGGTCGATCTCAAGGGCGAGCTCCTTATGCTTCGGCTTCAGAAATCAGCTCGAAATGAGTTTAAGTCCAGCGAATTCCGTCGCATGCGCAAACGGGTACTTTTCTTCCCTCATTGGTTGATGGGTTCTTAGTTGATTTTGAATTCAACTGAAATAAGTGGATTTTATGTTCGTGTTAAAAATATAACCCATGTGAAATTGTAGTTTCTAAGTTCCACTATCTTATCATCCACATTTTATTTATCTGGTGCCAAATTTTCTTTAAATTTGGGAGTGCAATGGTTTCTAATGGGCTTTGTAGCTGTTGGAATCTTAGATTCTTGGCTATTTTTTACCGCCAAAAAAGAAGAAGAGTTGAAATAAATTGAATCTGAAAAGTAAACAATTATAGGACCATTTATAGAATCCATTCAGGATTCAGATTTTAGTTCACAATCCAGAAAGGTTAACCAAAAGTATATTTCACCATGTTGGGAAAAAGTTGCAGCAGCTCCATTTAACAATGCAATTAGGGAGCCAGCTCGACTCCTTCTGAAACTTAGAAATCCAATTAGAATCAGGAAATCTAATTGAAAGTAGGATTTCAGGTTCGAAAGACTTCAAATTGGACTTAGATTAAGTATTTACTTCAAAATAACCCCTTACTTGAAATAGCTCTCAATCCTTGAAATAGCTGTCTAGTGGAATGTACATTGTTGATATATTTTGCACCATCTTCTAAAGACTCTTCAATGCCTTCATGCTACCATTTTGTTTTAGATTCCCAAGATGCCTGAAGCATGAATTAGCTTATAAATTGGTTCAAAGTAACTTATCTGTTTTTATGAAGTTACTTATTTGGCACAACATAAATGTTTTATGTAAGAGAGAGGGGCCTTTGCATTTGAGCCACGTGTAGTCTTTTCATGACTTTTCTACCAAACTTCTTCATGCTCAGTGATAAGGATGTTGGAATTATCTGTTGGGCCTCTCACAGTTGCACTGAACCTAAGTCCTGAATGATCAGAAGTTATTAAACAGCCAATAGGGAATTTTAGTAGTTGATGTGTATGAATTTAGTAAGACTAGCTTTTTTCCGAATTCGCTTGTGATCATGATGTAGGGATGTTTAATACTGTAACAGGCTCGTTCTCGTGGTAAGAATTGCATGTTCTAATTTTAGAAACTAGTGAAGACATCCAGTTTTAAATTTTGAATCTATGGTCCAATCCTAATGCCTTGGTGATTAGGTCTTGAGGTTTGTACCTACCCTTCCAAAGTATTTGGTTCAAGTCTGTAGCTTGACAACTTAATTACTGAAAACCTTCGTTCCCCCTTGAAGCTGGCTTTGGGGTGAGCAAAGCCTCCCGAAAATTCCCGGTAATCTATAAAATGGGTGCAAAAGTTAACTTCTCAGCAACATAATAATGTTCCTCTCTCTTTATTGTTATTATTTATCTCTACATTCTGTTGGATTGCAACATCTTGACTACACATCCGATGACTGGACTTGCCCTACAACTTTCAATTCATGTCTCTCATACGTCCCGAAACTTGGGAGTTTTGAACCATAAATTTTGTTAATGTCTGACCAATGGCAGATTGCTCGGATGCTTACTGTAAAACGTGAAAGAGAGATTGAGGAGGGAGTGGGCAAAAGGCTGTCAAGAAAGTTAGATAGAAAGTGGAAGAAAAGCATTGTTGTAAGACCACCTCCATCTCTGAAGAAGTTGAGAGAGGAAGAAGCAGCAGCTGAAGAAGCTGAGAAATCTGCTTGATCCTATCAGATATGCTCTCAACGAATATTGTATTTTTATGAGTTTGAAGTTGTTGAGAATGCCCATTGAAACAACATTCTTATCTTTTTTAAAAGGAGTTTTTCTTTTTTGAAGAAAAAAATTTATGATCTTGTACTTAGCTTATGCACAAATGGAAATAGTTTTTAAGAGGATTGTGGGAATTCTTTAACTTTCATGATCTTCGTCGCCAGATCAATAGATTCGAATGTATGACCTTAAAAAATTGAGCTACATTACTTGAACAGAATTTTCATTCAATTACTTTTCTTTCTTTTTCTAATTCCATGGAGTTTATATATGATTATTGATATATTTATATTTGACGTGTTTTTTTTAGTACAACAAAGATGAGGATGGAGGATTAATTTCTCAATAACAATTCTTCAAATTACTAGTTCTACGATCTGCTATTAATTATTTTTAGTTGATGTGCTTTTATTATAAAATAGGCTAAAATTATAAGAAAATACCTTTGAAGTTCTACAATCTGCTATTAATTATTTTTAGTTGATGTGCTTTTATTATAAAAGTGGCTAAAATTAGAAAAAATACCTTTGAGCTTTGCCTTTTGTTTTAAAAATATAACTATCCATTTTTAAGAAGTTCTAAATTTTATAGAAGTGGTAATTAAGGGAAGCTTGCTTGAAACAATTAAACTGGTAGTACAAGGAATTTAACCATTAATTGATACTACAAACTCTATTTTTTTGGAATGTTTAAGAAAGATCAGACACTTCTAAAATGATAATTTTTTTTAAACAACAAAGTTGAGAAGTTTTCTTCTTTTTAATATTTTACTTTTTTATTTTTATTTTTATTTTTTTTTTGAAATTTAGCCTTATAAAATAAATACCAATTTGTGCACACGTTAAGATATGAACTACTAAGCCTAATTTACAATTTCAATCTCTCATTCTCATTCTTTAAAATTTTAGTATCCATGTGAATAACTTTCAAAATTTACAATTTTTTACACTTAGCAAAACAATAGCATCTTCTTGTTCCCTATCCTCTTTTAAGTCTCATGCCCCCTTGCCTCAATTCTACCCTCAGTCATGCTCACAACCTCTGGCTATGCTCATAGATTGCTCCACCTTGGACCATCGGAACTCAAACCAACTATCGACCCGACCAATTGCAACAGAAACCATCGATTTCGACCAAACCGAATGAACCCAAAGTTATAAACATATATTCAAACCAACTGGTCAACCCAACCAATTGCAAAGCAAGCCATCGATTTCGACTAAACCGAACCAACCGAGTACTACATAGGGCTTCAAAAATTTTAATGAGTGGTGGTTCTCGTGTATGCATTTGGATCTCTTACTAATTTCAACAAACGCCACCTTAATTATCTAATGAACAAAGTTACTAGCAGAAAAACACTATAAACATATTTCATGATAAAATTTAAAAAAAGAAAATCCATCAGGAAGGCATCAATACACAGAGCAATCAACCATAAAGCTGACCAAATTTCAAGGGTTCTATTATTTGGTTAACTTAAAGTAAAGTAAAAGGTCATGAAGAGCCGCACCCATTTTCTTTGGATTTCACATTGAATTGTCAATGAAGTTCAAGGAGACCCCCCAAGCCAATCAGGGTAACCATGCTCCACCCCATAATCATAATCATAATAAAAACCCACATCATCTGCATCTGCACTTCTGTAGTCGTCTCCAAAAAACTCCAGCATTTCAAATTGATCATCTAAGTCACCAGCCACAAAATCCCAAATGTATCCGGAAGAACTTGAGTAATTTGAGCAAGCATCCCATCCGTTTGTTTCCGAATATTCTTCCAACGGGCCAACCAACTTCACTCTCGAGAACTTCTTGAACTTTTCGTCTAGTACCACGTTCCAACACCCTAGCACATCTAAATATTCGAGCTCGGGGCAATTCTCAAGGATCTTCAGCACTGATTCAGTATTGATAAGCAAATAGGCGATCTCGAGGTGCTTGAGCTTATGCATTGTTGATGCAACTGCAAGGGCCTCATCATCTTGAGAAGACTTGTCAATGGCTTCAAATGGGCACATAACTCTCTTCAACCCTGTGAGGTTTGGACAATGCTTCCCAAATGCCTCAAGGGCCGGTGCTCCGATGGTTTTACAAAAGCTTAGATCCAAAAAAGTTACAGCAGAAAACCTATCAGCAACCTGTTCTACAATGGAATTGGTTATTTCGCTTCTTGGCAGCCGTAAATTATGAAGATCTTTGCCACTGTCAATCAGGAATATCATATATCAATGTACAGAAAGTAACAACATTCAAGCATATGAGGTTGTGGACTCAATTTAGTATCTGACTCCAAGAATTGTGATGTTGTTTCCAATCCTCGCCCCATATTTTATAAAATAGACATTTTAAATCCTTTGATCTTCCAGTTTGAAATTTTTTTTGATAAGCCAGTTTGAAACTCAAAACTTGAAAAAGGGGCGTTCAGATTTTTTTTTCCATCTAAAGAACAATAGAATACTTTGGTCAAACAATATCATCTCTAAACAATGATCTTCAAAGATAACGTTAAAGAAGCCAACAAGAATAAGGGATCGTTATTGGACTCACTGTTCTGCAATCAGGGACAAACTAGAGTCATTAGGCAGACCGCTAACGCAGAGCTTGTGGAGGGAACCCGAGTTTCTTGTTATCAACATTTGAAGCATTCTATTGACAGTATCGGGATCTCGAAGTAAGCTCCAATCCATAATGTCTATCTCCTGCCAGCAGTAAGGCCCCAACACTGTTTTTCTCCATGATTTGCAAACCCTTGGGATGTCAACCAGTATCTCTTGGAGTGACAGATTCCTAAATATGAGCCCCAGTGCATCAGGGAGAAGCTCATCCCAGCGCCGGATTTCGCTATTCTCCATCAAATCTTACCACCTTCCCTTTACAGAGGTAAAAAAAGAACACTCGTGTCATACAAAAGTTACAGAAAAAGGGGGAAAAACAGAAGACTTTGAAACTAAGCATCATCTTTAGTGTTCCTTAATATCATTAGAAAGCAATGAATGGAAAAAGTTCGAGCAAATAAAGGTCAATCTTTTTTCTCTTTTTTCCATCAAATTGAAAGGGACCCTCACTCTAACTCCAATTTCCATAGTCAATTACTCCTGCGGCCGGAGGAAACACCTGCAAATTAAGCATTTCTATCTAAAAATCAGCCATCAATTTCAAATCGGAGACAAAAGGAACGCATTTTTATTTAAAAAAAAAATACCAACGATAAATAGTCCGGAATCATCTTCGGATGAAAATTGCCAGTTCAATCCGAAAGAGAGATTCAGAAGCCCAGAATTAGAGTGAACAACCAATCGGATAAAAATTTGAATTTCAAAATAGTTAGGGTATTAACATCCGCGACAGGTCGACAAAAAATCCGAAGAGATGGCTAAAATCAGCTATCCCCGCATAAGGTAGAGAGAGAAAACAAGTAAAATTCCGTGGCCTTAACAAAAATTGGAAAAAAAAAATCCAACCTTAGAAATGATTTCAATAACATTCTTGAGCGAAAATCTGGAAGAGAATATGTAACAAACTAACACAGCCGAAGAACAAGCATGTGAAGCTCGTTGAGAAGCACGAATTAAAGCAAAAGGCAAACAAAAAAAGCGAAGAATACCAGGTAAAAGAAAAAGCAGTTCTCAGATTAGTGGAGATCGGAGATTTTGGATCTTCATCGCCGTGTTTTTCAAGGCTGAGACGAACGGTCCGCGATAAAGAGTGAGATACGAGTACGAAGCCGACTGTGAAGGAGGCAGGTGGCGGATGAATGGAGCGCACACAATTCTTCGGCTCGCATCATTATTTATTATCAGATTAAAGATTGCTTCATTTTAAAATAATATATATTACATACATATATAATTGTTTATACTTAAAAATATTATTGGTGAACTAAAACAAAATACCGAATATACCCGTTAAATTGTCAGTTTTATATTTAATGTATTAAAAATTATCTGAGGTGTTTCCCTAAAAAATATGTTAGCAAAAAAGTTATTTTCGACGAAAAAAATTAATGTAATGCTAAACTATTATTTTACTAACACATTAGTACGTGAACATGTCACTCCTATAACATATAAAAAGTTCGATCATCTATTAGTAAAATTCGATAGGTCGATCAATAAAATCCATTTTTTCTAGGGGTGAGTTAAGTGACATCCATGTGTGTCTAAATATGTAAATAAAATAATAATACAAGATAATTGAAGATTTTTAATACATTGAAGATAAAATTGAAATTTTGAAAAGATTAATATGGAGAAAAATCTTTTTAACATTAGAGACTATTTGATATATTTAGCTTACAAAATTATCCGATAAAAAATCCGTTTGGCCAAATGGTTGAAAGTCCGACTCAGATATAAACCTTCACAGTTCACCCTTTGATTTTATAAAAGATATAGTTCTTAAATTTTTGAATTAAAAATTATTTTAGAATTTACATTTTGTTAATTTTCATTAAATTAACAAAAAATGAAATTATTTTGAAATTTGTCACACATATGATAAACATCTCACCATTATGCAACATGAACATGAATTCATCCTACTTCTTCTAAAAGATGGTAGGTTCGAAAAAAGTGGTAGGTTTAAAATTTCACGGAATCAAATAGTTGCATTATATACTAACTATATAAATCAACGAACTATATATGTCAAACTACATTAAAGTCTTTAATTCCATAAGCGTTTTTTTTATACAAATTCCATAAGCTTAAAGCTTATGTAAATTACATTTTATACCAAATACTAATATTTACAAATCATAAATCCACAGACTGATACAAATTACAGGAACCTATGTTATTACAATCTATTTCGTTGTCTAACCCAAATATATATTTCGCAAATCTAAACCTCCCAAACCTAAGCTTTATAAATTCATACTCACTAAGAACTCCAAAAAAAAAAAAAAAATCACCACTTTTACCGTACCCTTTCAATGGTGTGAGTGCTTCTTCATATAGTACTTGAACCAAACAATCACTTTTTTTTTTCTCTCACAAAATAATCTCTCTTTACAAAATAAACTCTCTTTACAAAATAATCTTACACTAATATAAAGAGGGAAAACTCCAAGGAGTTGAAAGCTTTGCTAAACTTGATGTTTAAAATGGCTTCTCAAGATATGAAGAAATAGAGAAAGAATGAGCAATAGGTAAATAATCTTTTGATTGATTTAGAATCTCTTTGAAAGCTACAATTATAGAATATAATGCAATTATTTGATTTTCTAAAATTTTTAGCTTGCAAGCTTACCCATTTTTTTTTCTTGATGATGGAAATATACTAATAATATGTAGGCTTTATGTAATAAATGAGTCTAGAAAAAGAGAAACTGGTAGCTTTGCTGAAAAATGAAGTATAATATATAATATCATTGAGAAGCAAAATGGCAATCATTCATTGAATATATACTCAGAATATGATATCCCAACGAAAAAAATTCACTTTAAACCAAAGTTTGGTATAACAAATAGAAAGAGGAAACTTCTCAGTAAAAAAAAATGGAAAAAGAAAAAGAGATAAGAGGAAAGCAAAACTGTAACTATGTTAAAATCAATATCAACAGAACTGGCTGTTTACAAAACAACACTCACCTTTTTATACGCATATGTGTGAAGTTTTTTTCTTATGTACAAGCGTGGAAAAAGCATTCAGATACATACATTCATTCAATCTTCTCACCTGGTTAATTAGTTCATCTGCCTTGATAATCATGTCAAGAAGGTCATGAGATCCACACGATGTCGATACGTCCCGGTAAAGTTGAGGTTGGCCTTTTGTTAGAAAGTCGTTCACCAACGACAAATCCCGGGTGCTTCGGTTCTGCTTAAAGCAAGCATTTCTTCATATTTTGAGGTGTATACAAAGCCCCACAACTGCATTACATACACAATTTTAAAAATTGATCTTATAATCAATGGTAGGTTACTTAAAAACCATAGATGAAATTAGCATGTGAGAGAACTAAGATGCTCTGCAATCACCTCAACTTCCTTCACTTCAAATTCTTCAGCATTGGCAAGGCAAGGGTTCCCGTAGGTCTCCGATATAGAACTCGACCCGTTCAATCTTAAATTTAAGAACACATTTATAACCATATAATCAAGTTGTGAGTTTACTACAGAAAATTGATAGGACTTCAAAATAGGCGTTTACTTCACACCACATAGACTACTAAAAAGGAACAGTTAATATCAGTGTTCTCACAGGTCATTGTCCAGATAGAGTGCAAAATGGCTGCCACCGCCGATGGCTAAGAAGTCGGGGGAGCACAAAGTGAAATAGTGATTTTCACCTGGTTGAATCAGTTTAAAATTTCCCTCCATGAGACTGGATCCAAAACCATGTAAGAAAGTAAACTTTATTGCAGCAATCATAGAATTCCTTCTCTCTCTTTATTTCTACGCTCTACTTACAAGGTAGTTTCTGATCCCGAATATTTAAATTCAAAAATTTTATTGGAGGCTGGAACCAAATATTCATATTAAACTAAATTTACATGTTTAATTCTATACTAGGACAATATACTTGGCGATTATGGAAATAAACTAGGTTGTTTAAACAAAACTATCCAATTTGAATATCACTGAGTTTAATGATTTGTTAATATTCAATAATATCTGAAATGGAGAAAAAGAAAAGTAGACTAGTCATTAGAAGGAGAGAGAGAAAAAAATAGTGCATCCAAAATTTTACTCATAGACCGCCGCACAAAGAAGTTACAAAAGTTTCAGCAGGAACGAGAATATGGCCCATAAAAATGGAATAAAAGCATAAATATCCCCATTTTCTAGAATGACTGTATTTCATCTCAAGAGTAGGCAGAGCAACAGTATGCATCAAAATATTATAGCTACCAAATGAGATGATCGATATTGTATCTACTTTTTTGGTATTTATTTTCATGGGCTCAGTAATGACGTCCACTTACCTTCTGCTCCAACCAATATTTAGCTCAAGTTCATAGTTGTTAATTATTTTATGATATTGGCAATATGTTGTCGATGTAATTAACAAGCGGGATCTGTTGTTACTAGTAAATCAATGTCAACTCACAAATAACAAGTCTAACATTCCCAATTATTGGTATGGAGTGATTTCTGGAGAACGAACTATTAAACAAGGATAGCAAGTACCTGTGGGGCGATAAATCACAGGATGGCCAGGTATATTTGTGAAAACAAAAGTATTATTTGTTCCCTGTTCAAGCTTCATGATTAATAAGGTGAGTTTATGCAAAATAATTCCTGGATTAGCTTAAATCAAGACATGTAAGAAGCACCTGATACTTTCTCTTGCTGCTCGGTTTTAGAGGTGCCTCCACCAAGCCGCCAAAGACAGCACCTTTACGGTCCCCAACAACCTAGAAGTGAATCATACATCAGCTATACATTGTTTGATGTAAACTGCACATATATGTAATATTTATCTGCATCGGTATTTGAATCCTCAAGATGTATTATATGTCACGAGTGTCCAAGCAATGATTTTTTTTTTTTTTTTTTTTTGAGGAACCCAAGCAATGAATTGATTCAACTTTGGATTTTTATTTGAAGGAATTTTTCTGCACTCATTCTAAAGATATAGTTAAAGATGAATACATGTCAGAGCTAACTTGTCCATAGAAAAATCAAACTTATAGTTACCAGCAAACTAAGCCCAGACCAAAGCATACTTCTCCTATATAGAGTTGAAAGAGATATCCCATGCCTCCATGTACTGCATTGCACAATCAACATACATTTAGGAAACAGATGAAAGAGTCTAAATAACCGCAATCCTATGGTGATTTCTAGAACCATGATCCACAAAATAAAATGCTTGTCTGCACCTGTATAGCAAAAGCCATTTCCTCCCCTGTACTAGTGCTGGAAGTGAAGCATAAAGAACACTTCTTGTTTTTTCTGAAAGGAGCAGTGAAGGTTCAGAAATATCAGCAATATCAGCGGATGAAGCAACCTCTTTAACATTTGACTTCTCCATCATCTCAATGCCGGAAAATTTAGCATCATTAACTTTCATCTCAACATCACTCTTCAGCTCCTGATTTCGGTAGCCAGTGATTCTTGCAGCATGATGAAGAGCTTTACCGAGTGATTGTTTCCCCCTAGAAAACAAGCTCTTCTTCACAACAGTTTCTTTAACGGCATTGTTCATTGGCTGGCTGCCAGCCTCTTCCTGATCATCACTTATTTTGTCTGAGTCCAAGTTTTCTCGAGATTCTGAGGATGACAAGAGGGAATACAGGAATGCAGTAAATGAAGATGTATCAGGGCCATCATCCGAAAACTCAGAACCCTGTTCACTAGATGACCCTAGGTCACTGTCGTCTTTAAGGTCGCTCCCATCTTCCTAGAAGAAATCCAATCCAGTTAAAGTTTAGAGATGACTGCCTACTTATAGCGACACTTTCAAACGTCAGTTAATTCCCATTAACAAACATCTCTAAGAAGAAATTTTCAATTACATGAAAAATGCGTTATTTCTCAGCATCAGAGTGAAATTCCCTATCAACTACATTCAAACAGGAGGAATCTAACCTTCAGCCCTACATTTTTGCACAACGATTAACGATTAAGACAGATAAAGCATCACATGAAACTCGATTCTCCTGAAGCTCAGCAATTAGTCCAAAAAAATAAATGCATACTACAATCACATATTTAAGTCAATACAAATGAAATCAGAGCCGTCCCGTTAATTAAAAATACGCCGAAGAAAAACGGAAGAATCGAAGAGGAGCTGCGGAAAATGATCCTGCTTAAAGCATAACAAAAACCGGAAAGAATTGGAAACCTAATCCATATGAGAGAGAAAAACTCACAGGTGCGTGAGATTGAGGATGAGCAGAGGTTCTCGCAGAAGGTTTATCGGAGATTGGGTTGAGGAGGACGGTGGTGATATCAGAGACAAAATGAACTGCTCTGCTGCGTAAAGATTGTTGCTTATGTTTACCCATTATAGCATTTGAAGTAAAAGAGGAGGAATCAATTGATTTCCAGCAAAATCCCCAATCCTCAGCTCAGCTTATTCTCCATTAAAATTCAGATTCTCTTTGCTTCCCACTCGATCATCCTCCTCCTCTCCGCCATTGATTCTGCCGCATACGAACTAAAAATCCTTTTTCTCTCTCTACAAAAAGACCAGAATAGAAGAAAGTCTTGCTCTGCTTTATCAATTCTCTTTGGTTTCCTCGTGGACCTCTGTTTGTTCAGATTAAGCTACGAGTTTGGTGAGCAGGTACCATGGATAGCGGAGGAAACACGACAATATTTTCTATATTATTATTTGCATATAGGTAACAGTTGACTCCATGGCCCAATGGATAAGGCGCTGGTCTACGGAACCAGAGATTCTGGGTTCGATCCCCAGTGGAGTCGTTTCGTTTTTTCAAGAACCATTGTTGTTTACTTATTGTTTAAGTAAACCAATAGCTATTTTAATAAACATATCTAATTACCTATCTTATTTTAATGCTCACTTTTTTTTATAATGTTCTATCAAATATATTTGTCCATATTTTTTAATTTTAAAACTTTACACCGATATTTAAAAATTAAAATATTTTATAATGGTTGTTTTTTTTTTAATAAGATAATGGTTGTTAGTTCTTTTTCTTTTAATAAACTAACCCAACAGTTATTTTAATAAACATATACAATAATTTATTTTTGATAAGTATTGTTCAATTTTTTTTAATCTTCTTATCAAATATATTTGTTCACATTTTAAAATTTTAAAATATTCTTACAAATTATGTGCATATAAATCATTTAAAACTTTTTTTGTTTATATTTTAAAATTTTAGAATATTCTTACAAATTATGTGCATATAAATCATTTAAAACTTTTTTTTGTCCTAAAAACTGAAATTTTACCCCGGGTGTTTTGAGAACTAAGTTTTTATTTATTTATTTGTTAGTACAACGAGCGAGGGTGAAAAATTCAAATTCATAATCTCTTAATCATAGATTAGTGCCAATTACCACTTAGGTAATTAAGCTCGGGTTGGCAACTAAGTTTTTAATTAAAAATACTTCAGAGAAATTTTTTTTTACTAAAATTATATTAAATTATAAGTTTACTCTAAAATTTCATGTCTATTTATTTTATAATAATTTTGTCCAGGTTCATAAACTTTCAAAGTTTTTAGTTAAATGAATTTTTGGGGTGGGAGATCGAACTTATTACTACTGAGCTATGCTCGCTTTGGCATATCTCAATGGTAATTATTAATTATTATATGCCATAATTTTAAAAATATAAAAGTTGATATTTATATATAAAAGTTGATATTTATATAACAAGATTAAATTCTCTTTAAAAAGAAAGATTAAATGTTGCTATTTATCATTTATAAAGTGTTTAAATTAATGTAACGTCTAGCGTTTGTAGTCCAACGGTTAGGATAATTGCCTTCCAAGCAATAGGCCCGGGTTCGACTCCCGGCAAACGCATATGCCAACTTTTCCCATTTTCTTCTGTCTTATTATTTAATTTAACTGCGCTTTACCGTGTACAATTAAACAAATAAAAATAGAGTGCATACTGCATAATAATAATAATAATTTTGCTTATTTTACTATTATCCTTTTTAACTTTAGCTATAAAATTGGAAACCAAATTTTCAATCTTAAACAAAAATAATAAATCCACTGCTCAAATTGAATTAGAAAGATAAATATGCAATTATCTATTACATAAATTTTAAGTAAATTAACATCATGTATATATCATGTTCTAATTTAGGTTATAAAATTGGAGATCAAATTCTCAATCTCGAAGAAAAGTAATAGATTGTTTATGTATTGCTCAAATTAAATTAATAAAATATAAAAATATGCAATTAATATCTACTTGTATGTTTGTGTCAATCTACTGTAAAAAGTTTGGAAATTGCACTGCATAACAAAAAAAAATCTTGTATGTATTTTAAAATATATCACATATTTTCAAAAAATTTCAAATATAACGCAAATTTCACTTATATCAGTAATATACCATATACTCATATATATATTTTTTAGTACAACGTGTGGAGGTGGGAGTTCGAATTCATGACCTTTTGGGCGGAGATAGGTGCCTTAACCAATTGAGCTATGTTCGGTTTGACCCATATACTCATATCAGTAGTATATCATATAGATATTACATACATATTGTACAGACACTTATATTAGTAGTATATCAAATTTATATCACATACATATATCAGTAATCAGATGTATTACATATATATTATATATGTATATCATTTGGATAAAGTTGTCATTTTAAAATCGAACCTCCGTTTTTTTAAAAGTGATATATTTGGAAAAAAAAAAAACTAAATGTGGTTATTATTTTACTAATTTTACTAAATATTTTTGTCA